TTTAATTTCAGAAATATTTAAAGTTAAATTGCATAAATACCCTTTAAATTGAAATTTTGGGATTGCAGAAGATAATTTTTTCCCCTGTCTAACAATTGCGCAACTTGACAAAGAAATAGTAACATGAGATTAAAATCCTTGGCAGGAACCATATATTTCGAGAATTAACACGTTTTCCTTTTCAAACTAATATAAAAGTAGGATTTTTTAAAACCTAAAAGTAATTTGAAATAAGGATTTCATAAGTTTTGGGATGTATGCATAGAATAAGTAGAGTTTTCCAAACAGAAATACTCTATAGTAAGCCTTCCAACTAAAATCAAATTGAAATTTAAAAAAAAAAAGCTAAGAAAACTATTCTTTAATGTAATTTATTAATTTATTTTACATTTTCAGTAATTTTTATCTGACTCTAGGCACATTACTTTTTTCCAATATGGATTTAAAAAATCATCATTTTTATAGATATACTAGTATAAAGAGAATAAAAATATTTATGTATAACATGATGCAAGACCTGAAGAAGGTATATCCTGTGACTGAGATAAGAAATTCTTCATCTGTAAGAAATAAATACTAACCTTTACTTAACCTTACCCTTTAGTACTCGAATTTCTTATTTGCAAAAAAGAAGTCTCAATAGCATTTGTAACAATTAGGTAGAAGTATAAGAAATTTTAATACTTTTTTGTGCGCAATGAATATACAGTTCTTTCTATGGGTGGCACTGTAGTTCTCTAGTCGTTAATATTATATACTTTAATATGTTATTATTATGACAACTGTTCTAACTGTATCAACTTTAGAAGAAGAACTTGTAAGTTTTAAGAACCTGCAGGCATGTTCACGAAGCTATCTTAGGACTACGATGTGTCCTAAGAACGTCCTAGGAAATGTCCTAGTCTTAAGTCAGTTTCTCGAGGCTTTCCTAAATTTAGGAACTTTCCTAAGTTTTTCCTAACTTTAGCACAACATAATACCTGTAAGATCATCCTAAGTTTGTTTTGATGCTTATGATTTTGGACATTGCAAGTATAAGCTTTCTTGTTTCTCAGTCCGTTTATGAGCTGATGATTTACACAAATGATTAAACAAGAAATGTTACCCATAAGCCTCTTTTCATATACATGTATGCTATAAATGTCGAATGTGCTGTTCCGAATATTACCTAGTACAAATTTTGGATATTGTTATAATGAATATTTTCGGTATTGGTTGGAGAAATATAATACAACGCTCCTCGGGCAATGATATGTGAGAGGGGAACCCTTTTATTATCAGTCGATCTGCTCATTCCATATCAAATACTGTACAAAGTAAATGAAGACAAACAAGGTTATTATAATGAGGGTAATGTTTGAATGAAAAAAAGGTTATGAAAGAAGTTGAAACCTAGACCCCGCCCCCTCTCTTGCTCTCTCAAAAATAGGATTTTCGGGTTTGGACAATATTCTTTCCCTTTTTTTTTTTGATTGTCAAGTTTTCTCAGGTAAGTTGATTTTTATTTATCTCCCCTCCCCCCCCCCCATTTCATGACCGTTGTTATGATACTGTCAAAGATATTCATCACATACGTTGTATTATGACCGCCACCCACCCATTCTTATTTTTAAAATGCCATATCAATACATTTAATGAATATAGAAACAAATACCCCCTCTTTCATATGCTAATAATTGGTATGTAGATACAGATACAGTACAACTTATGATCATTCTAGTAACATGACTTTTTTTTGCGATATACATATTCGTCAATCAAAACTTCCATCATAGATGCATAGCAATAAACTTGTCTTAGGAAAATAAGGAGGGGCCAGCCCTCCACCCCCTCCTCTCGATCTTCTAGCATACTACGTGCTATTATGAGACAATGAAACTATTGACATGTTCTAATTTTTTAATTAACCGGTTGGGAGAACATACAAAATTTTAAAAACTTGTCATTCAAATGTTTAAACAATTAAGAGTTTTAATATCCAAGAATGAAATTTTGGCTTTAAATTACTAGTGATTTCCCTGATTGAATACTTTTTTCGTGTCCTACAAAATTCATTTTATTTTGAATAAGCTTATTCATAAAAAAATAAAATAAACTTTTATAAAACTTCATATCATAATCATCATCAAGGTAGATTACTGAGAGGTTATGGTTTTTTAAACTACTGATCTTAACTACAATTGGTTTGTTTCAATGCGATTTACAAGCGGTATAAAATATTTTATATCAAAAATGCAAACATTAAAATATACTGAGGTCACATGGACATGTAAATGGATTTCCTTTTTTATGTTATGTAATTTCTTTCCCGTAAATGTCTCCAAAATTTTATATTTATCGATAAATGTTTAAGAAACAAGTGTTCATTGTATATTAGGATGTCCTAACTTAAGATGTTCCTAAGTCACCGTCGAGATACATCTTATGACATGTCCTAAGTTGATCTTAGGATGTTCCTAAATTTCTTCCTAAGTCATATCTTAGGAATGGTCTTAGGACAAATCTTACGAAAGTTTCATGAACATGCCTGCTGTTTCTGATCCTTTGTGTTAAACAATAAAATATGTTCAAATCAAATTCTGGTCGTCCATCTCAATTTTTTCAGCCCAGCGGGCTACTGATCTGCATCTAATATTTCAGCTGCAACAAAGAATTTCTCATATTTCTACATGATTGTCACAAGTGCGTTTTGATACTTTTTTCTTTGTCTTTTATCTGCATGCATGTCAATTCATTGATTTCCTAAAATATTGGGTTTGAGACCCTGTCAATTCATTGATTTTCTAAAATACTGGTTTGAGACCCCAAAATGATATGATATATATATAATGTCGGGCTTTGTCGAACTAATCAGTAACAACAAAACTATATAGAGATACCGGTATTACGAGCGCGCTTCTTGAGTTAATAAAGTATTTTCGAATTCGCTAAACTGATCTGTTTTATCTTTACATACATACTTATAGTCCTCTTCGTGATTTGAGCACATAAGGCCTGCACCGAGGACCTCCATCTCTTTTTATCTTTACATTATTTACAATATGTTATTAATTTTTTAAAACAGGATGATTAATAATGTTTCTTTTACGTACGTCTACATAAATTTTTCTTTCTCATGTTCAATGATCCATTAGGAATTTTTTCTAAATTAAAGCTATTTCCCTGTATCTCTGAACATTCAATTTCAAAATACGGAATAGTGAACCAAGGTTTTTAATTGGCTGATAGACAATTTTTTATTCCATTTCGCTAGTGATCTTCAATGAATGCCTTTTGTTCAAGTTCCTCATTTCAATACCATAAATAATTAGTTTTCTATTTTCATTCCGTTGTTTTTGTTTCATTCATTTTATTAGCTAGAATTTTTATGTCGTCGTCAATACATGTTTTTACAACAGGAGTTCCTTTTCAACTCTTTATAATCTTTCATTAAATATAAATATGAGAATACTAGAGTTTGATACACTCCATTACTGTCCAAAAAATGATTTTCTAATATTTATTTGTCAAAGTCGAGGATTCGGGTAAATTCATTTAAGTTTATATAAGGACAATTCTATGTCTTTTACGAGCTTGTAGTCTAATTATTGAGATGAATAATTTTGAGTTTGTCTGTATCAGGAATCTTTTAGTTGAGTTTTTTTTATCATATTCTAAAAGAGAAGCTTCAGTAAAACAATAAAACACGCGCAACAGATTCATTGTTTTTATCGCATTTTGGTGTTCAAAAATATTAGATTTTAATAGAATTTTTTTGATTGGCAAAGTTTGCAAGAAAAGAGGAAGAAATATATAAAAATTTCACCAAATCGTTAAAACTCAGAAAACAACAAACATTACAGAAAATTTGAGATGAAATATCGGATTTTCTTTTTACGCTTGTCACAAAAATTAATATTTGTGGAATTTAACGATGTAATCCGAAGTCAGATTCCTTTCTATCGATCCAGGACCTACAATAATTTGATCCTCTTTTTGAGGAGCACGTATTTCATCGAGTTTTTGATATAGCTCAAAGGTGCCAAAAAGGCTTCTTTTACCTGGTTTATTGTATAAATTACAAAAAATTACCAGTATATTGATTATTTCAATGTATCTACTCAATAACATGGACGAAAAATTCAATTGTTTCTAGAAAAACCGTTTAAAATCTAACACTGACCTACATAACTGTGGTCCGTGTATATTTTGTCAGTGCCATTTTACGATCCAAACAAACACTACACCTGTAGTAAATATATAAAATAAGTATTTGAATGGATATAGAGTAAAACGGAGTTGCTGAAAATCCTTGAAAAGTTCTTATCCTTTTCATTTGATAAGCATTTTAGTAACCAAATAAAAACAAATAGATTTTAGGCAATATCACTATAGTTTCCTTATAACTTCTTCCTTTCATGGTTAAATCTAAGTTTGCTTCATTGTATTCATTCCTTGCCCGCATGGCAAAGTGGTAAGAACGTCTGCTCCGGAGTCGCGGACTTGGAGATGGTCCCTACATTGTGGGTTTGAATCTTATTGAGAGACGTGGAGATCTCTCCTCTGCATATAAATCAAGTTCCCGTATCAAGAAAAAACTGGAGGCAAAATTGGCCTCTTTACCCAAATTATGTAAATCACTGCTCAGAGATCCATTCTGATAGTGATAATTTTCCACACACTGTTTTACTGTGCTAATCAAATGTTTATAAGTTAAAACTATTACCGGGGGTATTTCTTAATTAAAAAATCTAAATTACATACATGTAATGCAAAATGTAAATGCCTATTCTGCGCCTCAGAAAAGTCCATGATTTGATGCAAAAATAAGGAGTAAAAAAATAAATTAATAAATAAAAAAGAATATTACAAAAGACATTTTTAATAATTTAGGTTGAATGTTAATATTCTAAAGCACCTTCAGAATTTTATGGACATTGGATAGAATATGAATTGTAAAAGCAATTCTTTTTGGGCTGTCTTAAGTAAAGCAATAAAAGCCAGGTTATTTATTATTGCAGTGACTTCTGCATCAACAACAGAGTCCTCCACAACAGAACAAGTAACACCAGTTTTAACAACCGGTGTGGAAAATACCACAGAATCAACATCTTCTACAGTTACTTATACCACGACAACTTCTGAAGCAACGACGACATCGGAGACCTCTGTTGTGACGTCAACAACGACAGGGCCTCCTGGGGAATGGAGTACGTCGTCCATACAGGAAATAAGTGGTCTACAGGTAAAAATATGTTATTGTATATTCCTTCTATTGCTATAGTAAGAGGAAAGAGCTCCTAGGTTTGTCTAGATGAAGTCAAGTTTTTATTTTTTGGAAAAGTTTACGCTTAAACAAAGATTAAAGTTCGTTCTTAATCTCTAAAAATCACAATTCATTGAATGTTGTTATATATTTTGTATATTTTTATTCAGATAAACTATCCTACCTACTCCATTTATGGGGAATTGACGACCTTTAACATATCAATCAGCAGCGGCAACAATCATACAACTATAGCAGTGATAGAAAACCAAACTACGGTCGTCTGTTCTCAAGACTCGGACTTACTAGTGTTTGAGTGGACGTATAACTTCACGCAAACTGGCGCTATCAACTTGGAGATTATTATTGTAAACGATGTTTCACAGGTGTCACAGATGCTTGTTTTGTACAAGTATTATGCCATAAATGGAATATCCACCAACAATATTAGTAGAACATTCAACACGTCAGAAAATATAACAATGAATTTTGAGTTGGATTCCAATGCTCAAAAACCTCAGGGATTGGTGAATTTCAGTGTGACGTGGGGAGACACATGGAGGTCCGAAGGGGTGTTCGAATTTGACAATGAGATTCTTTTGAATGAAATATCTGCACCGTTGCTGTTAAGTAAGTTAAGTCATTCGTACACAATTCAAGGAAACTACACGGTCATAATCACTCTAATTTCGCCTGTACATTCACAAAATATTTCATATGTTGTTTATGTATGGGATAAATTAAGTGTCTTTCTTCACTCCAACAGTGCGGCAAAAGTAAACGAAATTATGTGGTTTCAATTCAGTAATCCACCGAATTCAAATTTTCGATATTTTGTGACGTACGGGGATGGAACGACGAGGGAAAATTCAGATTCGGACTTGTATAGATCATATGATGTGTCGCCTTGGACAAAAACTTACTCCAAATCTGAACTCTATGTCGTCACTATGAATGCTTGGAATCCAATGTACACAACATTTGTGAATTATACAATCAACATCACAGGTAATTAGTATATTTATCTTTTTATGAACTACGTACATGTATATATTGCAATTGTATAAATCTACTTTAAAATACGTGCTACTGTTTTGTAATTTAAATAAATAGTAGAACTTACATCATTCCTCTTCTGGAAAAGTCCAATATATACAAACCTTTGTGAATTATACTAGCAAAATTACAGGTAATTAGTTTATTTATCTTTTTCATGTACTAAGTATATGTATATATTGCAATTGTATAAATCTACTTTAAAATACGTGCTACTGTTTTGTTATTTAAACAAATAGTAGTACTTACATCTTTACTCTTTTGGAAAAGTACATTTTTGCAATTAATGTTTTAGTACTCTTAATACTTATTTCATTTTCCTCTTAAGATTATACACCGGTGCGTCTTCGAGGAGGTAATGTTCACTTTGAGGGTTCAGTGGAAGTGTATTACTCAGGGAGCTGGGTTTCATTGTGTGACACCAACTGGAATAATACGATAGCGAACATGGTCTGTTTTATGGCTGGGTTCGCCAGGTAGGCAGATAAAGAATAGAGTCATTTTTTATTTAAAGAATATGATTATTTTTTTTAAATGTATGTAATGAAAAGACATTTAACGCAAATGAATAAATAAATAAACAGTTACGTTAATAAAATTGTACGAAGGAGCAAGTTTAATTTTTATTACAATTTAATCAAAATATTTTGTATATAGTTGTTTTAAATTCAATTGAACTTTATGCTCAAGTGGCTTTACTGACCATATTTGTCCGGCGTCCGTCTGTTGTCCTCTGTATGAGAACGCTTAACACTTTGTAAAAAAAATTCTTCTCAAGAACCACTGGTATAATTTATTTTAAACCTGACACAAATCATCCTTTATTAAAGAGGGAATTCTAAATTAAGGGAAGGGCCAAACCCCCTTTCATGGGAATGGAAAGGTGAGAAAGAAAATACCAAAATAGGGTGCAACCTCTCAAAAATCCCTGGACAAGAATTGGAGAGACTTATGTGAAATCTTTCTGGTGTTGTGTAGATATTAAATTGTTCAGTTTTGATCCAAGGGTAAAGCATTGTTAAAATTTTTGTTATAGATAGGGGAAAAAATCTATTTAAATCTTCTTCTCTAGAACCAGTAAACTAAGAAAGCCAAACTTATATGAAAGAGTTGAATCATAATGAATGTTCAAACTATTAAGATCATGACTCCTGAAATAAGAAGGAACCACAAAAAATCCTAGAGAATAAAACACTGAAAAATCTTTAAAATTTTCTCATAAACACTAGACTAAAGAAAATATATAGTCTTGATAAGGAAGGTAAATTCTAACTTGTTGTCACAGTGTGGCATGACTGGGCCGTAAGGGCATAATATGCAGCCCTTCACCGGCAATAGTACGTCTCCATATCAGTGAAATATAGAGGTATATTAATCAATCAATCATAAACACTAGACAGTGACTAAAGAGGATGTAGAGTCTTGTTCAGGAAGGTAGATTCTAAATTGTTTAAATCATGACTCTGGGGGTAATACAAGTATGGGGGTAAATATAGGGTATATTAATTAAAAGATATAGGAAAAAGTATCTAAAAACTTCGCAAGGGTCACTGGACTTAAATAGATGAAACTTATATGAAAGCTTATAGATATAAAGCATATCAAAGCTAGAATGTTTTAGTAATGGATCCTAGGGGTAGGATGGGTCCACACGAAGGATCACACTTTTACTCTGAAAGACACAAGACAAGGTTTTAAAATTCTTTTCAAGAATCATTAGATCAGAAAAGATGAAACTCATATAAAAAGGTAGTGTAAATTATGTATGTTTAGTAATCGTCTAGGAGGCAAGGTGGTCTGTTTTAGTGTAGCAAAGTTTTGCACAGAACTAGTGTCTTATAAAATTTATTTTATGAAAAAAAAATCACTTCTTTAGAAACACAATAGATTCATTAATTTGCAAACATTGCCATCGTGTGAAAATGTATTATTTTTTCAAATTACGAACGAATTTTAGGTCAACGTTTTGAAATATTAATCAAAATTGAAGTTTACGTATACATTGCAAGGAAATGACGTTTTTTTTTTGGCCTCCAAAATTGCAAAATTATGTTAATCATATGATTATTAAAGCTTTGCCTTCTTATGAGGATCCATGGACCATAAACACACCCTTTTACCGGCAACTGTGACAGCCGAGGTAACTGGGACAACAGACGGCAAAGTTGTTTATCGTTATGACAGAGACCTAATTGATATCGTATTTTGACTATTCATTCTTTCGTTTGGTGGGGTCCCGTTTTGATCTTACCTTAAACTATTTCTCTTTTAAATATATAGCTATGATTTTTAGCCGGGCTCATTGCTCGTAGAGCAATGCCCGGCTAACGGTGAGCAACATGAAATGCTGCTTCTTCACCGCCAAACTGTTTACGAGTTAAAGTTAGTTGCAGCCGCTGTTGAGAAAACAAAATCCATTCAAACACCTTATAAAATTATTTTTATCAAAATATTAAATTGTTTAATATTTTTCCTGGCTCCTTTGACTAATATTTTACAAAGCAATTCAAAATGTGCGAAAGGTTTTCATCAGGTATCCCTGTCTGCGTCATATTCTACAAATAAAGGTTGTACCATCAGGCTAACACAAATGCACGGAACATCATTAATGACTTGCAAACATCAGTGCATAGTCGTTTGACCTTAATTAATCTTGCTGCATCGGTGTTTATTTACTTCTGTTTGTATATAAAACATCGAAACGATACATGTGATAAATATTTTACGCTGTTAATTTCTAGCTATATTTTGTTTATTTTTTTAAAAAACTTTTTAATACCTTACATGCCATTGAAATATTTTTGTGTGTAACATATCCTCTAAACGTCTGAACCTGATTTTAAACTGTCACCACGGTCTTTGTTCATTACCCTGTAAATGAGCCCGGCTTTCAGTACTTCTTAGTACTTTGATTTGTTATTGAAACAAAATAAGAATAGAATAAAGTTAAATTTCAATCGTTGTTCAAGAAAAACCGGTCAAGCTGAGCTAATATTATGAAAACTTCTATTCCACGATCACATTTCTTATTGTAAATGATATATTTAGGCTCTCTATATCATAGGGTGTGCTTAAGAGAAATAAATCGTAATAACTATTTTATTCATTTTTGTAAACAAAAAAGGACATCAGCCATAGCATACTACGGATCTCAGTTTGGTGTTGGTGAGATGTCACGCATGAGTGCGGTTTGTGAGGGGTTGGAGTGGGATATCATAGACTGTGTCCATAGTCTTGAACTCAGTTCCTGTCATGTAGCTGGCGTCAGATGTTCAACAGAAGGTAAGGAAAAATAAGGAATTCAGAGTTTAAGGTCTATCAATTCTAGTGTTTATCTTCTTCATCATGTGTAATTCACTAAAAAAATATTCTATATACACACTTACATCGAAGAATGGGGATTGTGTGTGTGTACAATTAACTACATGTCGTTCATACTATAGAACCTGTCGCGTATTTCCTTTCCACTGTTGGCAGATTTGTTTATGGTTTTTTCTTGGGTTTGTTTTTTTAAGTTGTGCATGTTGTATATAAACTTTGTATTTCACATTTTAGGTGTCTTCTTGTTCAAGCTATCATATGATCAAGATGCTACCATTTCATTACTGAGCAGAGACCACACTGTCATTAACTTCGATTATGTATCTGAATCCCCGTCCTTTGAAGCGTTCATTAACAACAGTACCATGCTCAATACACAGTCTGTCCTATTCGATACGGAAAACAAAACAATTCAGTTCAATTTGACTTCGCAAATGCTCTCAGTCGCTGGATTTGGAACTCATATTATGCAGTTCAGATTGTCAAACGAAAATTATAGTAAAGAGGTTGAAGTTGAAGTGAATCATGAAGAAGATATTACACAATATGAGGTAAAATGTAAAGATGATAAAGCTATACAAATATAGTTAAATAAATATTTATATGGAGGCTGATTCCTTGAACATTAATCCTCTATGAGCAATGATTATTCTGTGTATGCAATCATACTATTTGTCCATATGACTGAAAAACATACCTTTTATAAAATTTTGTATTTACAGATTCAATACAACAGTTTTATAGAATTGGGAAAACCTGCTATCTTCAACGTATCTGTGGCAAGTGGATCTAATTTACAGTTTACATGGGTTCATGGTAACACTGTGAAAACTTGTAATTACACAGGAAACAATCTGAAGTTCTTCCAGTTTAACTACACGTTTACAGATTTCGGAATAAGAAATGTCACCACATCGGTCTCGAACGAACTTGCAATAGCAACAAAGAGTTTTACTGTTGTTGTTTTCCACAAGATAAATGGAATTACTATAAATACTAGAAAATCAACGTATCAAACGCTTGAAGATGTGGATATATCTTTAACAGTTGCCGAGTCTGCACTTCAGCCCCAGGGTCAGGTCAATGCCAGCATTGATTTCGGAAATGGCAACATTACAAACTGCATTCTGTCTGCAAACGATACATATCTTACCCCTATTTTAAGCTTCACCCATCAGTTTGACATCCAGGGAAATTATTCTGTGCGGCTTGTTCTCAGGTCTTTGGGGGACACAGTATTTCAGACATACTTTGTCCAGGTCTGGGACGAACTTGCCGTTAATCTATCGTCTGTTACTCAGTCGAAGGTTGACACTGATATTGAGTTTACCTTTGGATCCACTCCGCGGTCAAATTTTATGTACTACATTTCATTTGGAGACGGAACCAGTATTCAAAACCAAGAAAGTGATCTCTATCGAGAGTATGATTTACAAAGCTGGAATAAATCTTACAGAAACCCAGGGATATATAACGTGTCCATGACGGCATGGAACCCGGTTTATACCAGTTACTTCTCTTATTTGATCAAAGTTACACAAGGTCAGTTATCTTCCTCGTACAGTTCAGAAGAATTTTAGTAAAAATTCAATATATAATGAAAAAATTTTAGTCAACAGATTTCAGAGAAAGAGGTTAAATGAATTTTTCAAAAAAAAATACATTTTTTTTTCTTATTACAGATCAGATTCTGAATTTTACACTGGATGCAGATAAAGGAGAGGTCATTGAATACATATATGGGGAATCAAAAGAGGTTTTGGTGTATTTTGAAACAATCAACAACACTGTGATTGACGTAGAATTTGAATTACTGATAGGAGAGATAGAAATTAATCCGGACTTGATCTTTATCAACCAGACTAGCGAGAAAGAAAAGCATATCAACCTCCCACTTTCGCTTTTATTGCAAGATGTACAATTTGGAAACCACTCCATGAATATGACACTCTATGCGCAAAATAGAACTGAGTTTCGAACTCTTGCTGTGCTTTTATATTATGAGGAGAAAATAACAGGTCTACAAGTAAGTTTTTTAATTCTTCTAAATTTCAATTTATGTAACGAAATTGTGATCATATTGTTTAATCTTTAATATTGTTACTTTTAGGTTTCTTTTGAAGAGAATGTCGAAGTTGGAGTTTTGACTGTTTTTAATGCATCCATAACTAGCGGATCTAATTTGGTAGTGGAGTGGATGCATGAGAATGTTTCAAGAACTTTCGTTTACTCAAATAACAAAACGAGATCTTTTAGTTATAACTATACTTTTCTACACACAGGAGACATCAATGTAACTGTTCTTGTGACGAACTTGGTCTCCAGCCAGACTTTCTCTCTATTGTTGCACAGTTATTACAGAATCAATGGTATTTATCTTAAAGTTGGGGAAACTTACCAAACAACAGAACTCGCTGAAATTGCAGTAATTGTAAATGATTCGGCTTCTCAACCTCAAGGGGAGGTCAGCTTGATTTTAGATTACGGAGATAAAACAAATGTGAGTGTCAGTTTATCAACTGATTCCTTCAACTTAAAATCTGAATTCAACACGACACATCATTATGACATTCAAGGAAATTATAACGTTACCGCCTATATGGTTTCACCGATTGGATCAGAAACTCTTATGTCCATCGTGTATGTGTGGGATAAGCTAGCCGTGAATTTGTCCTCGGAGGTAGAAAAGAAAGTTTATGAAAATATCACTTTTGAATTTGGCAACAATCCAAACTCGAACTTTTTGTATAAAGTATCTTACGGAGATGGAGAGATACGACAAAACAATGACAGCGACCTCTATCGGTCATATGACTTCCAGAGCTGGAATAAATCATACGAATATCCTGCTTTGTATAACGTTACCCTATATGCATGGAATCCTTTATATTCAAGTTTCCACTCCTATTTAATTTACGTGTCTCAAGGTAGTATATCATTTCAAAGATAAGAAATTGTTCATTCTTATTTTTGTCTAATTTCAACGTCTATGTTCATCAATCAAAAATAATTTAAGTGCATTAAAATATTATAATGATCTTGAGTTTGAAAACAATTTCTGCATCAGACGATTTTTTAAAACTCGAAAACCCAAGATATTTAGAAGAACATCGCTGCTTTTATAACTGTTTTATATTGATAGACATTTATGTCTTTCAGACCAGATTACCAACTTCACAGTAGATGGAAATTCGTTTTTACCAATAAAATTGATTTCTAAATCTTCTATCGACGTCCGCCTCAATTTCGCTACTTTGAACAATACCTACGTACCTGACCTACTTTTTAAAGCCTCCATCAACAATATTACTATTGACACAAATTCGGCAATCATAAACCAGGTAGATGACAATGTGATTTTTACCATGACCACCTTCTTGATGGACAACTTCACGTACGGTGTATACGAAATCATTTTCTCACTACTAGCACAGAACGAAACGGAGGAGCATATTCTCAACATGACTCTTATTTATGAACAGGCAATAGAGGATATTTTGGTAAGTTCTGTTCATATATTAAAATATTGTATCATTTAAATTCTAAGCTCCATGGATTCAACGCTCTTTTTCAAATTGATTGTTTTCTTTCAAGGTTGAATATGATCTGTATACAGAGGTCGGTCACCCATTAGAGATCAATGCAACAATGATCAATGGCTCAAACATGAATACGGAGTGGTTCCTTGGCCCAAAAGACAAACAGCATTTTCTACATCCATGCAACGATACACAGTCGTTTATATTTAATCACACATTTGGCGAAACAGGAGAAATTAATGTGACTGTGATAGGGAAGAACCTTGTGTCACAAATACGCAGAAGTTTTACGATATTTTACTACTATGCTATCAACGGTTTCTTATTGTTACCAAATGACACTGTTCAAACAATCGAAAACGCAACAATTGTAATACAAGTTGAGAATTCTGCAAATCAACCCCAAGGTGTTGTTGACATAGATGTTCACTTTGGAGATGGTGACTCAACAAATATTTCTTTGGATGCAAATGATCCAAAGCTAGCAATCGGTGTTCCTCTAACTCATCACTATGTATATCAAGGATACTACAAAATCACAGCCATACTATCTTCAGAAATCAACAGTATAAATTTAACTAAGGTCATTGGCATATGGGACAAACTAGATGTGAAACTGGCACAAGTGCCTCCTACTCGGGTAGACCATGATGCTGAATTCGAATTTATTTCCACACCTAATTCGAATTTTCTTTACAACGTAACTTTTGATGATGGAACATTCATTACAAACAAGGAAAGTGATTTGTATTATCATTATAATTTTAGCTCATGGAACAAATCATATTCACAACCAAAGAAATATTACACTGTAACAGTTAAGGCATGGAACCCACGTCATACTTCTGAAAACTCGATCTTAGTTTTAATTGAGTATCCTTTGCATGAGGGTAAGATAGGCATTTCCCCCTCCACTGAGATGATCCCAAGGCCAGACGGACGACAGAATATTACGATGAATCTGTTAGAAAACCTTCCCGATCCATCCAACGTAGTGTGCACATTCGACAACGATGAAGATCCTCCTACAGTTAATGTACCAATACCTCAATTTGGATTTAACCATCCAATAAAGCGAAATTATACATTTAAAACAGATGGTGACAAGAATGTAACTTTTACTTGTCATAATTCTGTGAGCAGTTATCAGGGATTTTCTTTAATCAAAGTGCGTTCCTTTACAGCACAAGACTTTAATTATACGTTTATGAACCCAGTCAACATGAATATGTCTCTTGTACCTACAAGTCCATCAGATGGAATCCATTTCCCATTTAAACCAAAGCATGACCCTGTTGATGTTACTTTTAACCTGACTTTATTTGAATGTTCAAGGTTACCCCCAAACATAGAAACTGTTTGGGAATTTGGAGATGGATCTACTGAAGAGAAAATTAACCAGACAGAATTTGAATACATTCACAAATTTACAAAGCGTGGAAACTATACAATGACTTTCAAAATTCTCGATCACAACTATAACACAGAGTCTACTCGAGTGTTCAACATCACTCTCGGAACGATGATTCTTTTCTGTGACAAGCCCAGTATTGACCTGAGAAAAGAGAACTTTACTTTAACTGCTACGAAAATGTTTGGGAATGTAAGCTACACTTTTCAAGTGGACATCTTGGAAAATAGTCCAAATGTATCCCATCTGCAGGAAATTGTAAGCATTTACGAGTCTGACAATGGATATAGTACAACAAATGTGAGTCTTCAGTTCTTTGAATACGGGTTCTATCTACCAAAAGTTACTGGAAATAATGGGACAATAACAGAGGTAGTGTATCTTGATAATCCAATCATCGCTGATTACAATATTTCGGGGGAAATAGACCTTGTTCTGGACCCCAGTTCCTGGAAAGTAGTACTGCCACCTGGTGAAGTCAAGTTTTTAGTTGAAATTGTCAATAAATCAGAACATCCTCCGTTTGGATTACCAAAGAGACCTTTCACACACTGTAGTCTTCGAACAGGGGACTTGGTAGATAAAGCTATCTACAGTCAAGTATTCAACATCACATCAGTCAGTCCTATGCAGTATAATTATACATACATTTCCCTTGGAAATTTAACAGTTTCTATAACTTGCTCAAATAATATATCAGAAGTCACAATTGTCAAGCCGATTTATGTTGGCAATGATTGTTATTCTAAAGTTGGACTTTTTGACCGAAAGAACTCAATGCCAAATGAATCTCTAACTGTTTCAACAGCAACTGATGTATATATTTATAGTAGAATGGATGTTCACTGCATTGAAAATAATACAAAATATAACTGGACCATTCGGGAAACAGACGAGTTTGGTTCTGACAAAGAGATCGTTCTTTACGATAATCCTTTGGGCAAAAACACGGCCACATTTCTCATCACGAAGGGATCATTCGAGGCAGGGCTTTACAAAATAGAATTAAATGTGACACTTGCGACTACATACTTTCACGAACACACATACATGACATTCAAGGACCCTCCTCCATTTGCATACATTGTTGGAGGAAATACCAAAACCATTACTAGTACGACATCAGCTTATGAATTTGACGCCTCTTTGTCTCACAACGGAAAGGGTGGGACGGAAAACATCGACTTTAGTTGGAATTGTAAAACGTGAGATAATAATTATGAATTTGTAGCAATAACAATATCTTCTTTTGATGTTATCTGATTTGAAAGATTGAGTTTACTATTTTGATCAGAATGATAAACTATATACAACTTTTTTCAATTTTTGGTTCGACGAAATAGGCCTAGATGGATAAATTGTCCATACAGTGTACCTTTCTAATACAATACTTTTCCATGTAAAATGTGTAAAGCAATACAAGATATATATAATTACGAGGTGTAAAAGAAAATCATTGGTTTAAAAACTGAAGCGAAAAATGAGCCGATTTCTTGTCAGTATTATCAATTAGATTGTTAAAACAATGTAATTAAATATATTTACATCTGCATTGTTTTATTATAAAAAATATCGCGTATTAAGCTTCAGACAATTTCTGTATTTGAAAGCCATTTTTCCCTATCAAAATAAGTACGTCACATGTTTATAAATAAATACTAGTAGTTCATCGTATTTCTTTTATTCTTTGTAAAATTATCATACATATAATGACTATTAAACTGTTTTCAATTTAAGGTTAACACAGGATCCTTTCGAATTATTTGATGATGGAGTGATTAATTTGAATCCTGGCCAAGGTGGCAATAACTGTCAAAATTCTGTAGCTAAAACTGACAAGTATATATATGAGATAAGTGGTTTAACGGCTGGAAGATACGAAGCCATCGTCACTGTTAGCATCAGAAACAGTCCAGGATCTACTGACAGCTATACACAAGTTTTAGTGGTGGACTCTGGAGACTTACCAATCCTGTCACTGAGGTTTGACATTTACACGTGATTAGATAATTGAGTATCCACTGTTTTTTTTATTTTGAAAAAGAACATTATTTTGGATTGAAATGCTAAATGAAACTGAAGATGAAGCTTCATATATATGATAATGCTTCGCAAGATATTTTTTAAACAAAAAATACATGTGCAAATCAAATTTACTTGCGTTAAAAACAATCAATTTTACATTGGGCTTGCGGCAGGAGTGACCGGGTAAAAGGGGACGCTTTCTGCTCTTAGGCACCTCAGCCCAACTATGGCTTTTCTGAGGGTCCGGGTTAATGACTGTACACAGATTGTATTGTTGATTTTTTAGATCGATTGCTGATCGTTCTGTTCATCCTTTTCATTCTACACATGATTATTCATTTCATCTAACAAATGTGTTATTAAAAAACGAAAATTAAAAATTGTAAATACGTATGCCATGACAGAAAAATGCACAAAAATTACAAAACATAAATTCCAGATTTTTTTTTTCATTAAAAATTGTTTTAGAAGAAGTGTACAAATCCATATATAGACATAAAAGTATTGCACACGGGTCCTTTATTTCGTGGAACTCTTCAACTCCAGGGAAGAACCCAAAAAAGTTCAAACTACATTGCGTATGACCTTAATATAGTTCTGTGCACTGTTTCATTTTACCGTTCACAGCTGCTCAAGAAACTGTCTCTCAAAAGTTGGTGTTGCGGCTTCCTACGCTTTAAGAGGTCAGTGTTCTAACTGTGAAGGCTCGGGATCTAGAAAACTGCTGTCAGAATGGAAGTTGTGGTCTGAGGAAGGGAATGAATATAAAGAAGTCGCTAACTTTACAGAAATGACAGAAACAACAGGTTTATAAAAAGAGATGATTATTTTTCTAGACTTATCATACTTACCTTTATAATGGTATTGATATATGTCTGCTTGACAGGAGAAAGTTTGTAATCAAACTTGATGAAAAGGTTTACCGTCTTGTAATTTCATTGTATTACGTACAGAAGCAATATGTAGGCAAGTACAATTTAGTGTTTCTTTTATCGTCATAAGGAATCACACGTGAAGGAATAACCATTGAAGCTCATCAGTTGGAAATGGGCAAAAAGTATCTCATAGCCATGAAGGGGTCATTTAACGACAGTGGACCAAACTATGTGTACAAAACGTTTCGAACCAACTTCCCTCCATACAATGGTGAATGCCAAGTCAACACGACTACAGGTATATTTATAATTGTTTAAACAATAAAATGCTTTCTTTGTTTGTTATTACTGGAATGAACGGAAGCAGCTGTTGCAGAAAAAATACATAACCCGCGTAAGCGGGTTATGTAAATTTTTTCTGCAATAGCTGCGACCGTTCATTCCAGTAACAAACAAAGTAAGACATTTTATTGTTTATATTTATATCTGTTTAAATTATCATTTTAAGTAGGATTAAAAATATTAATTATTGTGTTATTGATGCAAACGTCTTTGTACGTTTCATTGATGGAACGGCCACTGATCAAGAAATCTGTACAGGTGATATGCCTAATGTAGTTCATGCAGTGATGAACGCAATGGGTTTTCTTAAGAAATAAAGAAGAAAATATTCAGTGGATGTAAATATTTACTGATAAAGTTCATCCATTTATTATACGTGAGAGTATTTACCTTCTCTGTATTCGATTATTTTACCACTGTGACAGTGCTTTTAAATAGACTGTTAATCATTTATCTTGAAGAATACATTATTTTTCTTATATGCTTGCTATCTGCAGTTGGTTTTCATCTTGTACCTAGTAGATCTATTAATGAATATGTGGTTGTTTAAGATACCATCAACCGACTGAGTGTAGACTGCAATGGCTGGCTGGATGAGGGTTTACATGAATCACGAAATGTTGTCAGAGATCAAAACAACAATGTCGTGCTGCTTTACCAATACGAAACAGAAATGACCAAGAACACGTCCTTTGGAATACAAACAATTACAAGCATTCTGTACAGAGGCGGTACGTTGCGGCGAATATAATTATTGAGTTTCAGTAACTTGTTTTTTCATTGAACTCTTTGTTATAAATTACTTCAAATTTATTACCTTACTTTATTATTAAATAGGTGAAAGCACAATAACAAGCGTACCTGTCCAAGCCGGAGATAATTTTACTGACTACAATGTGACGATCCGTGTTAAAATTATAGATGAGTTTGGAGACTTTTCCCTATATGAAACAATTATACCTGTAGGTACTCTAACCTTATTTTAACCTCATGATACAATTTTGGGTCTTTTAAATACTGTAGATTCCTAATTATACGCGAGGAATTAATAATCGCGTAATTTCGCGGGAAGCAACACTCGCGAAATAAAATTACTCGCTTTCATTTTTATGGTGCTAAAATCCATGTAAATTCTATTGATCAAGCGTTCATTCGCGAATTATTATTCTCGCGATTTGACGTTAGAGAGCCGTCTCGCGATAATAAGTACTCGCGATAAATACGGAATCTACAGTACTTACATTTAGTAAATTGCCACTCAAAGCACTCAAACCTTTCTAATTTTGTTAGATAATTCCACCAGCAAAACCAGATTCTACAGAAGTTTTCTTTGAGGGTGTGTTGACTTCATTTGCCCAAGCTAAAGCTGGCGGTAACGATATGTCTGCAGTAGGGGTTCTAGGAGCTGCTGCCTCACTTTTTGACAATGTCACCAATGTAAGTTTGATTGTCTAACGATTAATATCCTGTTCCAAGTTATAAGGATATGTTGTGATACTTTGTTTTGTAGAATTCATACTTCAGCAATCAAATGGTGTTTCTTGGAGGTGTCAAGTCACCTTTATCGTTACGTAAATTACAAAATAATGTACATATAGATTGAAAATATAAATACTATAACCGTGATTAAGCCAATTGGCTGATGAGCAGGCAATGATGTTATATTTTTAAAACATTACCAAACGTAATAACTGTATATACAATGTACAATGTATAGTTTATTAAGCCCAAAACTACTTTGTGGTCACAATTAATATTTCCTAAGTTTAATATCCGATATACTTTATAGTCAAAAACGGTTCCTACAGAACAAGAAGTGTTGTCGAACACTCGGGTAGCAGACGAGGTCACCGTAAATCCTACTCCTGATCCTGTGGAGCAACTTTATATTCAGGTTAGCATAAAATTTACTATCTTTATACTTAGTATTCTACAGAGAACTTTTGTGGACTGTACACTGTAATTAATTGTGAAACCAGATAACATTTAATTTTCAACTTGCAAAGACGTTCCTTTTTATTTAAAAGAAACTGATCCCTTGACAACAGGGTAATCTTGTATTTATTTTCTTTAAATTTTGTGTAGAAAGGTCAGATAAGATAGACAAACATAATCTATTTTGTTCTTATTTCATAGAAATTAAGAGAAATTATCAACATTCTAAAGTCAGGAATTAGTCTTGATTGTTCCGACAACCCAAAAAGATTTAGCATCAACGACATTCAACACATTTTTGGAACTCTTGACTCTCTAACTCGATTGAAACAGTACATACCTTTGGATGTCTTGGTAAGGTTGTCAAATGTTTAGCAAACAATTTTTGCTTTCACAACTGCTAATGCAACTATTATTGGAATAGATTGATATTATAGCATCCATCTCATCATTATATTGTCTTACTTTGAAAAATCAATAGGAGGACTTAACCGGATTCATCTACAATATGACGTATTGTTTTGAAAGCGTCATCAGTAATGTGACAACCGAGTTGGATGAAGGCGTTTCTTTCCTCCCACTTGAGTATTATGACATTGTCAGAGACACAATTGATGGTGATAAATATTTTCTTATTATATTTTCTTCCATATATATACAATTATATCATTCTTTTTTTATTTTCTATAACATTCAGATAAATTAAAAAACTATGTAAATGTGTTGGCACTTATTTTGATATTATTTCCCTGATACGAGTATGTTCCCCTGTAAAATGTTCAAGATAAAAATGATGTTTGTATATACAAAATCAAATGCATCTTTGCTAATACCAACGTAAATCCTCTTTTATTTTTTTCCTTCTGGAGGATTGTCAGTACTTTAAAATATGGGATTACTTTTAATCAAACCAGGGTGTTAACAAGTGAATTATTCACTTATTGCAGAAAACAGGTAACACTCAAATTTACAACCCCGTCCTATTTCAATTTTTGTTACAACTGTAATTTAGGTATTGTTTATGTTTTAGTGGCCATACGAGTTTTGAACACAGTAATGGATAAAATGCTGCCGGCAAAGTTGATGAACTTGGATGTGGAACTTAATTTAGATGACATTGAAGAAGAGATGGAATTAAAATCCGAGTTTGAGAATAAAATGAACGCCCATTTGGGTATATCTAACGTGACCAATTACAAAGAAAAGTCCAACCAGATTTTTCTTCTTCGACAACATGAGCGGGAGATACAACTGAATCAAACAAATATTGTACGTTTTTGTCTGATCTCACAAGTCATTTATTTTAAATTAGATTTATCATAGTGTCCTCAATTCTTCGTTGTTTATGGTTGAGCTAGACCAAAAATTTTGATTTTCAACGAACTGCATATTTATTTGTTTTAAATTAGGATGGATTTAACGTATTTCTGCATACATACATGTTATTTTCATATAGGAACAAATTTGAAGATGTTGCCAAACCACAAAATTTGCTCCCCATGACCATTAATACCAATGAAACCACGTTATCATCGCTGTTCATTATTCATAAATGTTCTTTCAGAGTATACCAGTGACCATTTTTGTTCGCCTTTTGTCATGGGGCTTGTTTATAGATAACGTTCCGGATTCGATTCTCAAACTTATCGTTCAACATAGTAAGGGACTGTGGTATATCTTTCAACCCATCCATATTTCCATGTTAGGAGTTGATTTAGACTGGGTGGTTTCTGAACTGATCGGATTTTAAAAAAAAAAAATGTTCATTATTTTTTTGCTCATTACTATATTGAATGAAACGCAATTTTTTTTAAGGTAAATTACATTATTTATAATAATATTTGTAGTAATTTTAATATATGCATTTAAATTAAGGATATGGTATAGAGATTTACCTATCATGACCAAAACAAAATCTTTTGCTCTGGTACATAATTTAATAATCCAAAAAAGGAGCAGATACATGTACATATGGTTGCGGAAATTATATCTCGAGTATCTTGCACATTCGTTGGTCAATATAGTTAAATAATTTAATTCTGGTTGTAACGCTGTATTTGATTGGATAAAAAATTTACTTCATATCGTATAAAATGGGTTGCCTACGTCACAATGACTTACGTCAAAAATGTATCAATCCGCCTGACGTTACATTCAAATTTTGTACAAGTTGAAGTCATTTTGTTAGAACAATCATCTTTTTTTCTTACATCAAATGAATGAAAATTAAATTATAAGGAATGAATTTAATAGCTACCCATTTTATACGGTATAAACTGGGTTGGAACAGTTTACGCTTTTTTATAAACCGCTTCGCGGTTTATAAAGCGTAAACTACCTATCATGCAGTCCCAATTTAAATAAATCGTAAAACAAATTTATCAATTAAAACAATGTGCAACTCATGATTACACTGAAGAACTCATGAACTTTCATATTTTCATGGGGAGTATATTTTTGATTTGCCTGCGCTTTACAATATTTCTTTTATATTCTGCAGACTGCTAGAGTTCTCGCCAATCAGCAGAATGTTATTGAAACAATCCAAGGACTGAAGTTGAAAACCTTGGCGTTAGGAGAGAAATCACTAGTGTCAACATCTGTGCTTGATATAGTCACACAGAAAATAGCGCCCGATGACATGGATGAAACCTATATGAAAAAGTTTGAAACCAACAAAACAGAACTAACAATAAAGGTTTAATATTATACTTTGACATTATATTTGTACAAAATTTGGTAAAATAAAACTTCCAAAGATATATTCATTTTTAAATCAAATTTCTTGTCAAGTTTCCTACAATTCCATTTGTTAACAGGTTATTGTTTATAAACGAAATCCCTATAATTTTGTGGAGAACGCCTCATCCCTGACCACTGGTGTGTCCTCTATTGACCTTGGCCCGGGATCTACTGTAGACTCGGTCATAAAGAATCCACCCGTTCCAGCACCTGTGGAATATGAACCAAAAATCCAGACGACATTCCCCGAGGCAATGATCTATTATAAGTTTGAGGTGGAGAATGATGGCGATGCGGGTGTAGTTTTCTTCAAACCTGATAACTTCGATATAACAAAGAATCCTAATGACACTCTATACAGCTTCTATTTCAGTAGCGTTTACTTTCCAACATCTCAAGATTTAGAAATCGTGGTGTCGGCTACTAATTGGTCTGTTGAGGATGACGGTTTCAAGATATTTTTGGATGGTGGTGTCTGCAATAAAGGGATTTGTTATATGGGCATTAAGCTTGGAGAAGGTGAGATGGCAGAGACAAACACATTTCTAACGGAAGTTTTTACTAAAATTTCGAATAATAATAATGTTTTCTTTTAATAGTTACTCTATGTGTCATTTACAAATCCCTTATATTATGAAAAGAAACATTTGAATTATTACAAAAGCTGCAGCATGTTTATAGTTTAAGTATATTCCAAATAAATATTTCTCTAGTTGATATTACCGATGATACATCGGATTCTTCGACCTCGAGAAGGAGACGTCGAGACACCAGTCAATCTGTAACTACCCCTGGCTACAATGAGTCTGCACCTTTTACACCCACGAGTTCCAACTTCAGCATGGCAATAACAACCACAGGCTGTCGATCTTATGACAAGGCTACAGACTCCTGGACGTCTAACAACTGTCAGGTATCACCTTATATCATGTTTATGTGCTATTGTTTAAACAATTTTGGATAAAGACAAATTATCATTCTCAAACTTTGAACTTGACATAAAAATCAAACTTATTGTTTGTTTCTATGGATTCTAAGAACGATGCTGTAGATGTTTACCTAAACACTGTTTGTAAACATATTCTTTTATTAGGTTTTGAGAATTAGCACGAAAGAAAACACGGTTTGTCGTTGTACCGGAACGACATTTTCCTCCACATTTGTTGTACCCCTGAGCACTATAGATTTCACCAATGTGTGGGGAAAGTTCGATCCTTCCAACGCCGCCGTATATGGTACACTTATAGCCTTTCTCGTTGTCTACGCTCTAGCTGCTATCTATCTCAGAAGACAGGATAAGAAAGACGAAGAAAAGGTAACTGTCACGTTTGTTACATGTACAAGTATAAATGGTAACTTCATGAAAGAGAAGTATTTCTTAGACTTTTCAAAAAGTCTACCTTTTAAACAATATCATTTCTTTGAGGTTGCTTTAAGTACAGGTAAAAGCAAACAGGTTTTTTTTTCCTGACACTGTAGAGAATGAATGTAGGCAAAAGTTGTGTCCCATTTACAATTTACAGATGATATTTTGATTTTTCTAAAAAACAGTTTTTAATTTATTAAATGTGTTTTACATTTTAATTTTAGTGGGCTACTCATTTCCTGAAAGATACGGACGGTGCTGATACAAACTTCTACTTATTATCTGTTTACACTGGGATGCGAAAGGGAGCAGGAACTCTTTCTAATGTTAATTTTGTAATATCTGGTGATGAGGCTGATACCGGAATAAGATCACTTAGTGATGGTGTTCGAAAGGTATATTGCCATTATCATATTTTTATTTATTACTTTACTTCCCAAATATTTGTCTTCAGATATCTTTATTATACTTTTAATATCTTTTGTAAAAATATTATTTTAGGGTTTTGAAACTGCAAGTGTCAATAAATATGTAATGGGAAATTCTGAATCATTGGGAAATTTGACACATATTCGAATCTGGCATGATAACTCCGGACCGAAGGGACGTCGGAGTTGGTATCTAAATAGGATTGTTGTTGATGATTTACGTACACAGGAACGGTAGGAAGTCTCTATATTTCAATGTTTTAGATATGCATGTTTCAAAAAAAAATAGGCTGTATAAAACACAAGTGAACTGTTCTTTCGAATAACCATTATTTTGGTCTCTACAGATATATTTTCTTGTGTGACAAGTGGTTGGCTATTGATGAAGAGGATGGAATGATTGACAGAATACTTCCCGTGTCAAGCAAAGATGATATCACTTCGTTTAACACCCTCTTTTCTGAGCATACACAATCAAACATAACTGAACAACACTTGTGGTTATCCATGTTTATAAGACCAAAAAGAAGCGTTTTTACTCGAGTTCAACGGTTGTCATGCTTGCTCTCTCTACTTTTCCTGACAATGATTACTAATGCCATGTTCTTTAGATCTTCTGATGAAGACAAAGTCGAAGGAGTTTTGGAAGTCGGAGTTATTCGTATATCAGTAACAACCATTATTGTGTCCGTTATAGGAATATCCATCACAACACCACCAATCATGTTCATAACATTTGCATTTCGAAAGAGTCGTCCAGCCCCACGTAAACGTAAAAAGGCAAAGAAGGATCAACCCATCTCGACCATTTCATACAAGAAAAATACTGAAAACAGTTCAGTAATAGAGAAGGAAGCTCCTGAAGATATGGAAGACGAAATGCAGAAGAACACTGTAAATAAAGACGAAAACTTAAGCAACAACAGAGAAAATGTAGACTTGGAAGATTTACTTGACAACAGTTCTCTACCATTGCCACACTGGGTTCGAAGAATTGCTTGGTTTGTCGTTTTCCTTTCCGTCTTGACGTCAGCTTTCTTCCTTCTGTTGTACAGTATGGAATGGGGAATAGCCAAGTCAGAGGAATGGCTATCCTCCTTTTTATTATCCTTCTTGGAATCTCTTCTCTGCGTCGATCCTTTAAAAGTAACTATAGAATATGATATTCTGGGTTATTTTTACAATCTCTCATTCTTTCTTAATTTTTTTTGTATTTTTCCTATTGCAGGTTCTCTTGATATCGGCTGTCTTTGCTTTGATATTCAGGAAAATGGCGGATGAGTCCGTCCCACCTAAGGTTGAATTTGAAAAGCTTCAATCAGTGTCTAAAACGCAGTTTAAGACAAAGAGTCGTGAAGGTTTTAATGGTATGAATTTAAATTTTTAAAAATATGGTAATTTTAGCATTTGTAAAATACTAGTATTATTTTATAATTTATATCATAATTTATGTTGATTTGAGCAGCTCTAGTGAATAATATAGTGACGAGTCAGAAGCCTTTGTCTGAAGAACAAGTCGCAATTATGAGAAAGAAACGACAAGAGGAACGCACAGCAAGGAACGCTATGATAACATTACTGGTGTATGCCGTATATGTGTCCGCCATTTACAGCATCAGTTATATGGAGCGTGATCAAAGAGCTTACAGTTTCAAAGAGAGTTTGGATAATTTTATGTACAGTTCTTTCTCTAAGGTGAGTTGCTATCTTGAAAATGATATGGTTGTTGTTCATTTTATTTTGAATGTATTCAAACCTACCAGTGGCCAATATCCATATATTTTCATCAATATTAAATGCAAAACAACCAGATAGAACTAAAACAAAATTAGTCTCTTTATCATATTCTGCAATACTTCTATAAGTATAAAACAAAACATAATATAAGGAATCTGGGACCAAAATCTTTTCTACAAACATTGTTTATGAACTTAACAATCTCTTTGGGTTTTTTTTTAGATTTCGGAGACAGATTCATTCTTCAGCTGGTTAAAAGGTTCGCTTCTCCCAACATATTTTCCACAGAGAAATTACGCGAATCAGACAATATTTTTTGCAAGAGATTTACAGTACTTTGGCGACAATGTCAGTATACGAATAGGTCCTCCCAGGCTGAGGCAAGTCCGAATGGGACAAGGTAAAGACAATTCCATTTGGTCTTCTTTTTACCATGAATTTTCTATTATAAACTGGTTGTTTATGTTGAATTATTACTTGGTTTTATTTACGATGTAGATGACTGTGAATATTCCCGTCTTACCTGGCCCTACCCTTGTTATAGTCGGTATTCGATGACTGACGAAGATGACCACTCATACTGTTTAGGTTGGAGGCCTTATGAACAAAGCTGTCTTGATCCCAATGATAAAACAATGGAAGCTTGGAAATTCACTAGTGCGTTTGACATATGGGGGATTCCTAAGGCTGGTGAATATAACACATACAGTGGAGGCGGTTATGTCATAAGTTTAAAAGAGACAATAACTGAGGCAACCAATATTGTTAATGATTTACTCAACAAAACGTGGATCGACAGACGTACAAGGGCTGTATTTCTGGAGTTCGTTTTGTACAATCCGAACGTGAATCTGTTTGCCTACGTCATGTTTCTTACGGAGTTCACCGAACTTGGGCGTGCTTTTACTTGGTATGAATCAGAGGCATTTCGACCCGTGGCATCTGCTTCAGCTGTTGGTTCCTACGTCATAGCTTGTTATTCTATTTTCATAGCTTACGTCATCTACTCGTTTGTAAAATTTATAAGAGGAATTCGAAATTTGGGTTGTCCAGCTTACCTAAAGCATCCCTGGCATTACGTTGATATGATCATGGCCTTTCTTGGATTTGCTGCCATTGGTGTTTACATAGTACGCATCCAAGCTGCAACAAAAGCCATGGACCTTTATTATGATCAGCTTGTCACAGGATCAAAGTTTATTAATTTTGCTAACATTGTATTATGGGACAATACCTTCTCCATCATCTTTGCCATCTTGGTTTTTGTGTCCATCATTCAGTTCCTGCGGATCTTGGGATACAGCAAGAAAGTGACAGAAATCATTTCAGTTATTACAAACGTAGGAAAAGACCTCTACGGATTCTTGATCATGTTTTCAATCATGTTCTTTACGTTTGTCGGGACAGGATATCTGTTATTTGGGTCAACTGTCAAAGAGTACAAGAGCTTCTTCAGCGTAATTGGAAGCCTGACTAACACGTTCATTGGTGTCAACAGTCTCGATGCCTTGATAGAGTCAAACCCTGCAATAGCAAGAACTTTTTACTTTATGTACATTTTGTTAGTTATAATGACGTTATTTACTATATTTGCTGCAATTCTCAACAAAAGCATTTCTGAAGTCAAAGATGATAGCGAGAGTTCCCCAGATGTGGTTGGAGTAATGGATATCGTACTGAAATCCGCCAAATCAGCATTATCATTCGTACCAACTGTTGGCAAAACCGATTCTAAAGAAGATCATTCAGAAAGTTGGAGTAAGTATTTATGAGACATTTTCACAAGTCTTATTACTTTTCTTTTTTTACATGAGAATTTTGTTGTTTTCACATATTTTTATGAGCTTTTAAAATTAATTTTACAATTTTTTTGATCTGAAAACTTGATATAAGGTTTGCAGAAAGGATTCTAGAAAATTCTTTGTTTTTAATGTTACATTGTACTTTGCTCATAATGCAATTAAATACTATTTGCGGATTATTCTCAACACTTGTATATTATTTTGATTTTCTATTTTTTTTTTTCATTGATACAATATTTGTGAATCTATTATTATATTAACATAAAGAAAAGGACTTTATTATAGATGATTCAAAGGTTTTAATTAAGCCATTGATCATACTAAATAGCTTTTGAAACATTATCCATAACTTTTCCTCCATTAAGTTAAAGAAAATACTTGATATGTCAGAGAAAGAAATGAGTTTTAAAAAGTAACATGCTAAACATTATTATTGATTGCCTAATTTGCCTATAGTCCATCGTTCACTTGAACATTCTTGACACGGTGGTTACATGTTAAAATCTTGACAAGAAATACACTACTAGTATACTGACCAAGGTTTTGAGCACTGAAGATTTTTACGACTTTATATATATTGCAGAAGATTTTTTTAAATTAATTTTTCAACTACATTTTTTTTAATTTCTCATGTGTGTTTCTACTTTGAAATTTGTTACTGCATGTTAATTCATATTTGCTTCGAAAACAAAACCTCAAGGAAAAAATCTTCCAGTTTAATTGAAATATTTTTCCATATTTTATGTGCTGTCTTTTTCTTATAACAAAGTTATAACTTTGTTTACTTTTCCAATGTTTGCACACAGGTGATCTACAAGATGAATTACGTAAAGGGAATGTAAGCGCTTTAAATGTAATGAGACTAGTTAGAGAAACCTTTAGCGATGTTGAAGGCGTACAGACGAAGGTATATGAAACATCATTTCGTCAACAGTATCATGAAACATTTATCTTTAAGTTTTCAATTTGAAATATAATGTATACAATTATTACGAGGTAGTATTGGTCATAGAAAATCTTTTAAGCGAAAAAATTAATTATTATATAAATAAATAATTTTTAGAATATGAATACGAGTCGTCTGAGTTTTTGGCGAAATGATATCGTCTGGGCTTCACTAACACCTGTATACTATGTACCCAATTTTGTTTGTATTATGCATGCTACAGTAATTATTTCGGTTGTATGAGTGCGATGTCATATTGTAAATTTTGAATTCCTTGAATGGTTACGGAAACGTATATACATGTATTTATATATTTATACAATTTGACATCTTTAGTGTAACTGTATATACTTGTTTAGTAAAAGATTCATGTAGTATTGTTTTCTTAATATCTAACAACAATTCTTTACTTTTAGTGCTCTTTTATGTTTGTATCTAATGCGATTCATTCCAAAGCAAAAATTAAACATCATACTGCATACGAAATATTTTCTAAAATATAATCTTTCTAAAAAAAGAATTTTATGTAAAAAAAAAATGTTATCAATATTTTGAATCGCTAATACATATAAATCATTCTACTTTTCAGTCGGGCTAAAATGCATTTATTAACTGTGAAATTTGCATTCATATACATTCTATAAATTTCCAATAATAAAGGCAGTCTTCATACAGATGTACTTAGCCTTTACGTCATCCTTAATTTAACTCTTTCACTATCTTGTTTTTATTATACTAACTTCTTGTATGTTCTCCTTTTAAGCCAGTGGAGACGGTAAAGCCAATGACGGGAATCCAGGAGTTTCTTCTCAACGTCGACAAAGAAAACTCAGAACGAGGTTCCGCTAGCCCAAAACGAGACATCTGGAAAGACGATGTAGATGACGATGAAAGAAGAGTGCGATTTCAGTTTCTATAAGACCATGTCCAGCTTGTAATGTCTTACCTTGGTCACATATACTGTATTTTTCTATGCAAATTATTAATGGTATTCATGGGTTGTTTTTAATAAGCACATAACCTTTTTTTAACAATCGACGACAGTGAACTAGCTTTTCACTTACAAAAGTAGATGGTACTCTCAAAAAATGGATTTAAATATTAATTGTGCACTCTATAGTAGACATTACTCTTTTTTTTTTTAAGCATGCGAGATGATAATGTATACAAATGTTCTAGCACGTTATTCTGTTAAACAAAAGAGTTGTCATGGTTGAATTTTTGTGTCTGTTATCTAATTTATAAAATTATTATGCAATGTTTCTTGTATTGTCTATTAATTATTGATATGCCGATGTTGTATTGTTTTTTACCAAACAGTGCCGCTGAGTCCTTTTTAAGAAGCCACATCAATCTCTACATTGTCTTGATACTGAATTCTTCTAGGAGTTCAGTTTCTTCTTCTCCCTTCAACTAAAATAAAGGTCTTTCTAAAGAAACCATTAATGGTGACGTGAGTGTAATATAATAACGAGGACAAGAAATCGATTGTTTTGAAAGGGTCAAAATTAAGTTAACCTGATCTTTAAAATGGCGTCAAAATTTCATAAATATTTTATTTCTGATTTAGATTATACCAGGCGATGGATCAAACATGGAAATGAAAACCTTGGCAGATTTTATAATGGATCAAAAATATAAGATTTCCGTTGAAATTTCATTTAACAGTTCATGGGGCAGTATTTAAAACAATTTATCCTTTCGATTCGAAAGTGTAAAAAAGATAATATCACAAAGATTTCACGATCAATAAATGCTGGTATCAGCTATAACAAAACAGGTTTCAACATTGGTTTTGTTCATAAGGCTCATTATTATAATTATATTGTAGAATAATGAATTATATTGTAGAATAATGAATTCCATAAGAGGTAAACCAACGCCCAACTTTTTCCCTCCCAAAAGAGGAAGTTCTTCAAAATTACATAAATGAGTATGTTTTAATTTTTTAGCTCACCTGAGCCGAAGGCTCAAGTGAGCTTTTCTGATCAAAATTTGTCCGTCGTCTGTCGTTGTCGTCGTCGTTGTTGTTGTCGTTGTTGTCGTAAACTTTTCACATTTTCATTTCTTCTCGAGAACCACTGGGCCGATTTCAACCAAACTTGGCACAAAGTATCCTTGGGTAAAGGGGATTCAAGTTTGTTCAAATGAAGGGCCATGCCCTTTTCCAAGGGGAGATAATCATAAATTTGTTAAAAATTAATGGCATTTTTAAAAATCTTCTTCCCCAGAACCGATGGGCCAGGAAAGATGAAACTCATGTGGAAGCATCCTCGGGTAGTGTAGATTCAAGTTTGTTCAAATCATGACCCCTGGGGCAAGGGTGGGGCCAAAATGGCCAACCCAAGTTTTACATAGGAATATATAGGAAAAATCTTTAAAAAATCTTCTTCTCCAGAACCACTGGGCCAGGAAAGATGAAACTCATGTGGAATCATCCTCAGGTAGTGTAGATTCAAGTTTGTTCAAATCATGACCCCCGGGGCAAGGGTGGGGCCAAAATTAGTTTTACATAGGAATATATAGGAAAATTTTTTAAAAATCTTCTTCTGAAGAACCACTAGGACAGGAAAGATGAAACTCATGTGGAATCATCCTCAGGTAGTGTAGATTCAAGTTTGTTCAAATCATGACCCCTCTGGCAAGGGTGGGGCCAAAATGGCTGACCCAAGTTTTATATAGGAATATATAAGAAAAATCTTTAAAAATCTTTTTCTCCAGAACCACTGGGCCAGGAAAGATGAAACTCATGTGGAATCATCCTCAGGTAGTGTAGATTCAAGTTTGTTCAAATCATGACCCCCGGGGTAAGGGTGGGGCCAAAATGGCCGACCCAAATTTTACATAGGAATATATAGGAAAAATCTTTAAAAAATCTTCTCCAGAACCACTGGGCCAGGAAAGATGAAACTCATGTTGAATCATCCTCAGGTAGTGTATAGATTCAAGTTTGTTCAAATCATGACCACCGGGGCAAGGGTGGGGCCAAAATGGCCGACCCAAGTTTTACATAGGAATATATAGGAAATATCTTTAAAAATCCTTCTGAAGATCCACAGGGCCAGGAAAGATGAAACTCATGTGGAATCATCCTCAGGTAGTGTAAATTCAAGTTTGTTCAAATCATGACCCCCGTGGCTAGGGTGGGGCCAAATGGCCGACCCAAGTTTTACATAGGGATATATAGGGAAACCTTTTAAAATCTTCTTTTCAAGTACTTCAAAGCTATGATTAGTGATATTTATATGGAATCAACCTCAGGTAGTGTAGATTCTAGTTTGTTCAAATGATGAACGCCTGGAGGGGGTAGTAAATTCAAGCCCGATGTGCTCAGGTGAGCGCTGTGGCCCCTGGGCCTCTTGTTTTTCTTAATACCCCCAGTACCTCCAGCAATCAAACTGAATTTGAATCACTAAATTCTCAAATCCGACAAAAATGTAAATGTAAATGTTGTACAAATGCACTAAGCCTTAGAGTCTGTCTTTAAATACTCTACCAAATATTAACAGCAGTGAAGGAGAATAGTGGAGTATTCAGGATTATTGCACATCATATTCCAGAAGTAATCAATGGATCATATTCTGGATACTTAAAAAAGAAACTGCGGTGAAATTGACTTCATTTAACCAGATGAATTCGGAAGCATTTATACAATCATTTCCCATGGCATACTGGTATCAATAAAGCTTTCTGGCATTATACATGGATAGCTCCTTTTCAATAAAAATGGAATTCGCAAATTTGCAGACCTTGTCATCGGCATTTAAAATAAAATTGCTCCGAAGTTTTTAATAAAAAGATGTTTGTGTTCCCGAATCACAATGTATGTGTTTGGAGACCATTTATACAACCATTTCCCATGGTATACTGGTATCAATAAAGCTTTTTGGCATTATACATGGATAGCTTCTTTTTTCAATAAAAATGGAATTCGTAAATTTGCAGACCTTGTCATCGGCAATTAAAAAAAAAATGCTCCGAAGTTTATAATAAAAAGATGTTTGTGTTCCTGAATCACAATGTGTGTGTTTGGAGATCAGGGTTTCCTCACTATCTGTTGGAATCTAATTCCATGGATGCTACATATAAATATGTCCCGTTATAACAGACCTTTTCGTTTTCATAGAGAGCAAAATTTAATAAAACGAAATTATATACTCAACAAAAAAAGAAATGTATATTCAGAATAATATGAAAATCTGAGTCTTCAGTTTAAACATTATTTTATTTAAGTGATTTTAGACTGTGTTGTGATAAAAATTAAACATGTCCTATGTTGCAAATTTAAAAGTCCAGTTGATGTCATTGTCATCGCCCCCAAATTCAAGGGGCATAACAATATACATGTATACTGTGCGACGTCTCAACGCTAGTGGGTTTCCAATGTACGGATGTCGTGGACGAATACCATCTCCTCCTCTCAGTCTCTTGCGAACAATTTGTGCACTTTTATGCCGCTTTCTTCAACCAGAAATTGTAGCAGCAGTTTGTGCAGCAGTTCTGAATCGATTGCTGAAGGGGGGTCTGACGGTCCTTTCTGTATGTGGTATCCCGTTGACGGCCAGTTTTTGGTCTGTTATCCGTGTTCTTAGCTGGTGGAGACGTACGTTAAACCGCTGCAAAGCCGATTGATGTACACTAAATGCAGTTGCAACCTCCTGTTGCGTAGCTCCGGTTATCATCCTAGTTAGCCCGTGTTGCGTTCATCTTTGTTAAGGTGTGAAATTGTAGCATCAACATTGTTATCAAATCTTAAATATGGGTTTAATAGGAGTGTTTATTGTTTCTCTAAATCCAAAATATCAATGAAAATAGACCCCCGATTTACAAGAAATCATGAAAAACACTATTTTCATAAACATTATTATTCAAGGGAAATAATTCAACACTTGGGTTTTTAAATACCTATGGTGTAGCCTTCAATACGCTCACTCATACAATTCTCTCAGTGTCGTCAGGTGCTTAGGTGACTACAGGGGATTTCTGGCTCGGTCTGGATCCCCTCGAGTCGAAGTGCTGTCTTAATGGTCAGATTTCTGCTTTTCGGCTGTTTGAGGAAAGTTCGCCTCTACGTCTCCTTTAAAGCCGGTCTCTATTCCTTTTTTGGGAGTTGAACTATGTTCAATCTCCCATGGTCATCACGCATTTAACATGCGCAGTAATTTGTGTTGATTATATAGAGCCTAAAGCGAGGCTACTGTGTCGACCGATTTACTCCGATGATAACAGAAAACATGCATAAACATCCGCCACAAATAGTTCATGTCATTTTCTCCTGAATTGATCTAATTTTCATAATTTGAAATGTAAGTAAATGTAATGATAAAGTAATCTTATTTTGAATATTAGATTTTGTTCAAAGTAAAACTAAATTATAAAGAACTTCAAAAGTTTTTCGTAATGGAACTCATTTTTAGTGTAGCTTCATACACAGAGAGATACGAACGACAACTCTACATACTGACGGCAAGCGGTAAATCTAGTCTTCCCGACGCCCGACGGTCCCGGATTTTTGGCAATTTCTTTTTTACGGGTGCACAGAATTTATTCAAACTTTTCATGAACATTTCCTTGGATAAATTGAATTATTAATGCAAAAAACTTTAGGAAACATGCGTATTTATTACTAAATCAGCAGTATCACCTGCCAAAAGCGGTTAATCTAGTACTCTGTTATAAATGTTAAAACCAAAAATGGACACCGATGTTTTCGTAGAATCGCGATTAAAAACAACAAAATGAAGTATATTTTTTTTTTTTTGATAAAAGGAAAACCTCATTTACATACCAGATAATTTGTACGCTCACAAACTCTCACATATACCACTGTTTTTATGTTTGGTCAATAAATATTTGTTTTTAACTTGGTATTGCTTTTTTCTTCAAAATATTAAAACAGATCAAGTTCTGACAAACTCCATGTATAATGTTCGTGTAATTGAAATACATTTATATTCACAGAGAAGTTTTATATATAAACCTGTTAGCTTTTAAAAGGATGCTGTGTGAAAATCCACATTTTATCAACATTGATATTATTCCTTCGAAACTGAAATTTTCATAACACATGGATAAAGGTGAGGAAAAATATATTACAAATTTGAAGACTGTGATCAGTGAATTATATAAATGATCAACCGCCTCTAATATGAATATGATGGCAGTGTCCATGTTTTGCAATGGGAAACCCAAAATATATGTAGGATGAAAAAGTAATAGCAGGTGCACAACGGCAATATGTAATAAAGATTCTATGAAAATTTCGTTCAGTGGTGTAAGAGGATGGTTATACCTAAAGCGTAACAAACAGATGGACGGAAATCCCGATTAATAAATACCCTCCCCCTTTTCAAGCAGGGGGTATTAAAAAAAGGACTAATGTAGGTAGGCAAGCATTATGGCCCATGCATTTTTTTTTTGCTATTCAGTGTCTCTGAATGTCTTTCTCAAGATTGTTGCAACTCAAAAAATCTGAAACAGTTGTCTGTATTTGAAATAATAATATTGTTCACTCACTTAACCTCCCGATCAAAGATTTTATTTTACACCATGTTCAACTCCCGTGAGTGCTTTCAGTACTTTGATTTCCCTTGGGTGTCCATTTGAGGGCAACCCTGGGCAGTAAGTTTAGGGGAATACGCAGGACATACATGTAAGCACTTCATAGGCAGTGTCTTGTTTGGATGGTTTTTGATATTTTTGATATCCCAGTCATTTTTATTAGTTCTTTATTCGAGTTGGTGTTTGGTCAAAAGATCTTGAGAATACGTCTGAAGTTTGGAAGAATTCAAGTTTTCTTTCAATTGCCAAGGAGGTTTTCAAGCACTCTGATCCATTCATGATGACACTGAGGACATTGTCGTTAAAAATCCTGATTATGATATTTAAGTGTTGTGGATCTCCATATGGGTTTCAATATTGCAAAAGCCTGGTTTGCTTTGCTGATCATGGTGTTGAGTTCCTTGTCGCCTATTGTGTGACTTTGCTACCCAGGTACGTGAACGCCTTGGCATACTCTAACTGGGTTATTGTTGATCAGTACTAGATTACATGTACTGCTAGTGATGCTTACTCGTTAAACAATCGTCTTTTCAGGTGTTGACTTTCAATCCGAATTTTTAGCACCGGAATTGCTATGTGTGATTCTCCATAGATACCATGCCATTTGGGAGGGAAAATAGCACAGGTGACAGAATACTTCCTTGCTTTACTCCGGTTTTCACTGCATAAGGTTCTAGCTGTGAGCTGGTTGTTATGTATCACTCGGCACTCAAAATTGTAATAGAAGAACTGGATGATATGAACCAGTTTCTGTGGAATGCCGAAGTAACACATGATCTTCCAGAGAGACCCATAGCACAAATATATAGTCAATACATGCTTTCCCCTTTCTAATTCGGACCTGCTCCTGTTGAAGTGTCCTCTAAAGCAGAACTTTGTGATGCATTTTACAATATGGTGTGGCTGAAGGTCTTGCTGGTGAGAGAGGAGGGTAACCCCACGCCAGTTGTTGCAGTTTTCAAGGTCACCTTGTTGGGGCAGTTTGATGATGACTACTTTCATCCAATCATTCTCATTACCCTTGAAACATATCTTGGAGGTTCAGTGTGTTTCTTCTCCTTCTGCTTTCAGCATATCGTGGCATACACCATCCTCTCCAAGGACATTGTCATTTTCTTAATTTATGAATTGCATTGGTCACCACATTTTGCGTGATGTGGCCCATTTCTATCTTAATGCCTCATCAATGTCAGGGAATATCGATGGATCTGATCGCGGTTATGTATCTTCACACAATGGTCTCTCCACCTCTATATAGTTTTGCCATTTCCTGTGTACTTCTGCTTTTTCAGGGGATCTTGTTTGGGGTCTTTATCACCTCTTTGTTCCTTCATGTTCTGGTAAACTGATAAGTTTTTTTTTCTTTTTGCGGCTCCCTGTGCTTCCTAGACGAATTGCTATGTATAGCAGTGCTTATATCTCCTTAATGACTCCGTCATTTCCTAATATCTTTCTTTCTATACAAGGTTGCTGCCCATTCTTTCAATCTGGGTGATTTTGCATCTAGTTGATTTTTCTTTAGTTGCTAAAGAAACTACGACAAGGCGTCTGATGCGTATTTTAAAATATCGATGCTGATGTAAGGAGCTGATCCTTACGTCGCGGGTTCGAATCCCACTGTGGGACGTGGAGACCGGTCCTTCGGATGAGACCGTATAAAACGAGGCCCCGTGTCGCAGTAGGTGCTGGCATGAAAAGATCCCTCCCTCTTCAATGGCCCTTAGTGCCGAGTATAGGACAAAATTTGCAGCTCTCCAACGGCAAGTGGTGGCGTCTCCATATGAGTGAAAAATTCTCGAGAGGGACGTTAAACAATATACAATCAATCAATCAATCGATGCTGATCAGAAAAAAAGGTAAAGAGTGTTGTTTCAAAGGAAAAAAACGTGAATTATCAAGTCATTTGTGATAATATCTGTCAAGAACTGTCATCATGCCAGTGATTTTACAAACAAAATTTTGTTTTCAGTGAAATATATATAGAAAAACAAGATGTTTGTGAAACACTGATGCCCTCGTATGGCAACATAGCGGAAATTAAACTTTTCTTGAATGGAATTAAATGTGTTGGTATTCAAAGTACGGTCTATTTACAAGAAATACAATTGTGAAATATGAAGCCCTAGTCCTAACCGTTCAAAAGTTGTGGCCAAGGTTAAAAAGTTGGTCAAACTCCAAGGTCAATGTCAAAGGGTCAAAGTTCTCGGTAAAAAATAAAAGGTCTTCTCACAGGGATTAAATGTGTAAAGTATGAAAGTCCTTGCCCTAACCCTTCAAAAAGTATAGTTAATATTTGTTTTTAAAAAGTAGGTCAAACTCCAAAGTCAAAGTTCTTGGTGAGGTATGAAAGGTCCTCTCACAATGATTATATGTAAAGTATGAAAGCCCCAACTCTTACCGTTCAAAAGTTATGGCCAAGGTTAAAGTTTTTTATAAGTACGGAAATCTCCAAGGTTAATGTCAAAGGGTCAAAGTTGTTGGTATCCAATGAAAGGTCTTGCCACGAAGAATACATATGTGCAGAATGAATCTCCTAGTACCTATCGTTCAAAGTTATGGCCAATGTATATGTTTGGAATTTTGGTGTAAAAGGGGCAAACTCCAAGGTCAAGGTCAAATTTGGTGGTACCCAAAAAAGGTCTTGTCACAAGGAGTAGTACAAGTGTGAAATATGGAAGTCATAGCTCCACTACACCGAAAGTTATGGGCAAGGTTAAAGTTTTTGCGGACAGCTGGACAGACGGACGGACAAAACAAAAACTATATACCCCCGAATCGTCGATTACGGGGGCATAAAAATAATAAAATTAGCTTCACTTCTGACAACTGCATCGCGATACGAACTTGATTTACTCGGAACTACAGATTCCGTTTGGTTTGGTTTTGCTTGTCACTAAACTGGTGTTCAATATCGCACGATAATAAAGAGAACCAATCAGCATGGCTACGAAGCGTACATCGGATGATCAAAGTTCAAACGACATGGCTAGTGAAAAGAAGCAGAAGCAGGTTCGAGTGTGGGTCGATGGCTGGTAAGTGTCAGGAATGCAAAACGTTTCATGTTTATTTGGATTCTTTAGGAATGCATTACCGATCATCGTAATCGGTTTGCAATGGAAGGGAGGGGTTATGATCTTCACTTCAGAAAAACTAGGCCTACCGAACAATCAAAAGATGAAAAGATATGTTGCTTAATGTTATATTGTTATGTATAAATGGGAATTAACTATGCAGAAATTATCGATCATTTATTGACTTTTTCTTTTAATTTTTATTACCTTCCTGAATCAGGGATCATAATACATTTCAAAATAAATAACTTGCTGAAACAATTTTGACAGATCGATCCAAAATGAAAAATAGTTGAAGTACAGTCACAGGTTAAATCCACAGGCACCTGACGAATGGATGATGCCCCCTCTCCCTCCAGCTTCTGGGATTTTTTTGGGGATAAAAATAGATTTTGTGTCTAATAAAAATTCTGACAGAAGCTTGGGGGGGGGGGATGTTCCACCATCCATTCGTCAGGTGTCTGTGGATTTAACCCCACAAAAAAGCAATTTTCACTATAGAAAAAAAAGAAAGATAAACTATTAAAAATTCTTACAACTGTTTGTTCAGCATATTCAGAAGAACTTTAGGGATTTACATTAATAATTAATGAAGTGATATGATATTATTAATCTTCCTATTATAACATTCTTGTACCTAGGTCCATAGATTAGAATGATATTCATTGTAAAAATTGTGTCCTACATCCCTATGCAGTTTAGACACATATTATTCTAATTCATTCAACACGTCAAGGGCTGAACCACTTATATAATTGTAGATAAATGTTTTGATTTATATATGGGTCCAACTATCATGACAAAATTAAACTTAAATGGTTTTTGCTTAATTTTCAGTTTCGATATGGTTCATTTTGGCCATGCCAATGCTATCCGACAAGTAAGTGTTTGAAACACTAGATGCATAAAGAGTTTGATTGGGAAAAAATTGGAATGGTATGATCATATTGTAAAATTCTTCTTAAGGTTTCTATTATTTTTTACTTGTAGGCTAAACAAATGGGGGATTATCTGATTGCTGGAGTTCATTCAGATGGTTTGTATGATTTAAGTGTTTGGTTTAAAATTGTTTGTCCTCTGCAGAAAACTATTCTCGGATATATCATGCCACAATATGTAGACAATATAGAAAAAATTGAAAGAAAAAATTCAAGAAAATGGGTTTAATAATAAAAAAAAAAAGGCAAGTGTTGCAGCCTTTTAATGTCTCTTCACCTCACAAAAAAGTAGAGTCAACAGAATATGGAAATGAAAATGAAGCTGTTTAAGCTCAGCATTTTGTGATCCAAGAAAAAGAAACTAAATGAGTGATTGTCCTTATGGAATATTAAGAGCACAAAAGAAAAAAAAATGGTTTGGAATATGAAGATATATGATTATCATGTCAAACATTATCAAATTTATTCAGTGTTTCACACTAGTCTTCTAAGTGTACAATTCTTCATTTGAGAGAGGGCTATCCACCTAAAATGATATTGAGTCAATGCTGAAAACCAACTAATACAATAATTCAGTTAATGACATGATAAGAAATTTAGAGGATCAATTGAAAACAGAGACTTTGCAAAGGCTAGGAAAATCTAGAAAAAGAGAAATCTTTAAATTTGAATATGATCTACCAGTTTGATGTGTACATACTGCAGTACACAAAAATTCAGCAAGAAATATTTCAGACTTTTCATTTGACAGACTACCAAATTAATTCAAACAATTTGACATAACTTTTTAAAGGATAGCTTGAAATGTTTTAATTGTTGATAATCTATGCATGGTTAAGATTGTCATTTTATTACATACATGTAGTAGAATATATGTCATTTTAAATAGCTTTTCATTTTAAACAATATTGATTCTGTTTTTAGCTCACCTGAGCCGAAGGCTCAAGTGAGCTTTTCTGATCACATTTTGTCCGTCGTCCGTCCGTCCGTCTGTCCGTCTGTCTGTCCATCTGTAAACTTTTCACATTTTCAACTTCTTCTCAAGAACCACTGAGCCAATTTTGACCAAACTTGGTACAAAGCATCCTTGGGTGAAGGGGAATTTAAATTGTTAAAATGAAGGGACATATCCCCTCGCAAGGGGAGATAATCAAGAAAAGACAAAAATAGGGTTGGGTCATTAAAAAATCTTCTTCTCAAGAACCACTGGGCCAGTAAAGCTGAAACTTACGTGAAAGCATCCTGGGGTAGTGTAGATTCTAAATTGTTCAAATCATGACCCCCGGGGAAAGGGCGGGGCCACAATGGGGAATCAAAGTTTTATATAGAAATATATAGGAAAAATCTTTGAAAATCTTCTTCTCAAGAACCACTGGGCCAGAAAAGCTGAAACTTATGTGGAAGCATCCTGGTATAGTGTAGATTCTAAATTGTTCAAATAATGACCCCCGGGGGAAGGGCGGCACCAAAATGGCCGACCAAACTTTTACATAGAAATATATAGGAAAATTCTTTAAAAATCTTCTTCTCAAGAACCACTGGGCCAGTAAAGCTGAAACTTATGTGAAAGCATCCTGGTATAGTGTAGATTCTAAATTGTTCAAATAATGACCCCCGGGGGAAGGGCGGGGCCACAATGGCCGACCAAACTTTTACATAGAAATATATAGGAAAAATTGTTTGAAAATCTTTTTCTCAAGAATCACTGGGCCAGAATAGCTGAAACTTATGTGGAAGCATCCTGGCATAGTGTAGATTCTAAATTGTTCAAATAATGACCCCCGGGGGAAGGGCGGGACCAAAATGGCCGACCAAACTTTTATATATATATATATATAGGAAAATTCTTTAAAATTTCTTCTCAAGAACCACTGGGCTAGTAAAGCTGAAACTTATGTGAAAGCATTCTGGTATAATGTAGATTCTAAATTGTTCAAATCATGACCCCCGGGGGAAGGGCGGGGCCACAATGGGGAATCAAAGTTTTACATAGAAATATATAGGAAAAATCTTTGAAAATCTTCTTCTCAAGAACCACTGGGCCAGAAAAGCTGAAACTTATGTGGAAGCATCCTGGCATAGTGTAAATTCTAAATTGTTCAAATAATGACCCCCGGGGGAAGGGCGGGGCTACAATGGGGTATCAAAGTTTTATATAGAAATATGTATAGGAAAAATCTTTGAAAATCTTCTTCTCAAGAACCACTGGGCCAGAAAAGCTGAAACATATGTGACAGCATCCTGGTATAGTGTAGATTCTAAATTGTTCAAATCGTGACCCCTGGGGGAAGGGCGGGGCCATTTTAGGGAATCAAAGTTTTACATAGAAATATGTAGGAAAATCTTTGAAAATCTTCTTCTCAGGAACCACTGGGCCAGAAAAGCTGAAACTTATGTGGAAGCATCCTGGCATAGTGTAGATTCTAAATTGTTCAAATAATGACCCCCGGGGGAAGGGCGGGGCCACAATGGGGTATCAAAGTTTTATATAGAAATATATAGGAAAAATCTTTGAAAATCTTCTTCTCCTGAACCACTGGGCCAGTAAAGCTGAAACTTATGTGAAAGCATCCTGGTATAGTGTAGATTCTAAATTGTTCAAATAATGACCCCCGGGGAAAGGGCGGGGCCACAATGGCCGACCAAACTTTTACTGAATATATATGGGAAAATTCTTTAAAATTCTCCTTCTCAAGAACCAATGGGCCAGATAAGCTGAAACTTATGTGGAAGCATCCTGGTATAGTGTAGATTCTAAATTGTTCAAATAATGACCCCCGGGGGAAGGGCGGGGCCACAATGGGGAATCAAAGTTTTACATAGAAATATATAGGAAAAATCTTTGAAAATCTTCTTCTCAAGAACCACTGGGCCAGTAAAGCTGAAACTTATGTGGAAGCATCCTGGCATAGTGTAGATTCTAAATTGTTCAAATAATGACCCCCGGGGGAAGGGCGGGACCAAAATGGCCGACCAAACTTTTATATAGATATATATAGGAAAATTCTTTAAAAATCTTCTTCTCAAGAACCACTGGGCTAGTAAAGCTGAAACTTATGTGGAAGCATCCTGGTATAGTGTAGATTCTAAATTGTTCAAATAATGACCCCCGGGGGAAGGGCGGGGCCACAATGGGGAATCAAAGTTTTACATAGAAATATATAGGAAAAATCTTTGAAAATCTTCTTCTCAAGAACCACTGGGCCAGAAAAGCTGAAACTTATGTGGAAGCATCCTGGCATAGTGTAGATTCTAAATTGTTCAAATAATGACCCCCGGGGGAAGGGCGGGGCCACAATGGCCGACCAAACTTTTACATAGAAATATATAGGAAAAATCTTTGAAAATCTTCTTCTCAAGAACCACTGGGCCAGAAAAGCTGAAACATATGTGACAGCATCCTGGTATAGTGTAGATTCTAAATTGTTCAAATCGTGACCCCTGGGGGAAGGGCGGGGCCATTTTAGGGAATCAAAGTTTTACATAGAAATATGTAGGAAAATCTTTGAAAATCTTCTTCTCAGGAACCACTGGGCCAAAAAAGCTGAAACATATGTGCCCATGGAAGGATCATGGGGTAGTGCAGATTTCAGAATGTCTAAATTATGATCAGTGGGGTAGGGTGGGGATACATTATGTATAACAAGGGGGAAATCTGGTAAAGAACAGAATGGTCAAAGCTTCTCAGGTGAGCGATGTGGCCCATGGGCCTCTTGTTCAATTTTACAGCGGAAATTTCCAAACACAAAGGCCCACCTGTTTACAATGAAAAGGAGCGATACAAGATGGTGCGAGCTATTAAGTGGGTGGATGAGGTAAAACTCGCATGGAGATTTGATCTACATTGATTTTGTATTTTTATTTATGTCAGTTTGTGATGATGAAGACAAGAACATTGATCATCATGCTTCAGTTGTCAAGAACTGACAGCTCTTATCTTTCAATTTACAATGGAGATAATCTGTAATCAATGATCCTGTGGGTTGCATTGTAATTAAATCCTAGCTACATTCTATGTATATTTTGCCTTGATTCAGTACACCTTCCTTTGTTTTGGAAATACCCTTCTCCTTTACTTTGGAGTTTAATATAATGAAAAGATTTGTAATATACATGTACTATTTACTCGGCATCAAATTCATTTTAGTTCACCTTGACAAATTTGTGATGAGCAAATGCTATACATGTACCCCTGACACTGGTGTTGGCATCTCAGTATAAATTTTAGGATCAAGTCCATTTTCAAGTAACCATAAGCCCTACCTGGACTAAACTTGCAGGGATAATGCATCAAGGGATGGACACTACGAGATAAACTTCCTAAATATATTCAAATAATTTTCTGGATAGTGTATAGGTTCAAGTTTCTTGAGCTCGCCCATTCCTAAATAGCTTTTCACCCTACTAAAAGTAAATCTGCATGGATATTGATTTAAGAATGCTTACTAACTAAAAAAAACTTGATTGCCTTAATTATGAATAATATTCTTTGAGCCGATCGAGCTCTGTAATGTTTGATTATATGAGATGTACAATGTGTAGTTGATCAAAGCTTCTTACATAAAATTTATTATAAAATAGCCTTAACAGTAATTATAATGCTAAGTAAAGTGAAACATTTTTTACAGGTTGTAGAAGATGCTCCATATGTGACAACTCTAGAAACTCTGGAAAAATACAATTGTGACTTCTGTGTACATGGAGGTATGTAAAATAATGCTGTGAAATGAAGTCATGGTATATGTAAAGGGAAATAACTCCCACTCAGCTCCATACAGTATAACACACTTGTTCATCAGACAGTCAGCTCTTAAAAGATCAAATGTGTGGCAGTATTTTTATTTTTAGGTCACCTGAGTAACTCAGGTGACCTATTGCTATCCGTTTTCGTCCGTCGTGTGTTAACATTTCAACATTTTCAGCTTCTTCTCTAAAACCTCTGAACCAATTTCAACCAAATTTGGTATACAGCATCTATGGGTGAAGGGGAACAAAAATTGTGAATTTCATGGTCCCCGCCCCCCTGGGGCCTGAGAGGTGGGGCCAAAACCACTAAAATTAATGAAATCTTTAAAAATCTTCTTCTTTACTCCTGGACATCAAGCAGGCAAACTGTTGGCATGAATGTAATGAGCATTGAGTCCTCTACCAAAATTGTGAAATTCATGGCCCCAGGGTCAGGGGTTCTAGTGCTAGGGCAGGGCTCTATAGATTATATAATGAAAATGCATTATTTCTTTGAAAATCTTCTTCTCTGCTCCTGGGTATTAAATAAACTTACTAAGCACATAGTTATGATGAGCAAGAGTGCCTCTTCCAGATTTGTGAATTTTATGGCCCCAGGGTCAGGGGTTCTGGTGTTAGGGCGGGTCTCTATAGATTATATAGTGAAAATGCATTATTTCTTTGAAAAACTTCTTCTCTGCTCCTGGGTATTAAATAAACTAACTAAGCACATAGTTATTTTGAGCAAGAGTGCCTCTTCCAGATTTGTGAAATTCATGGCCCCAGGGTCAGGGGTTCTAGTGCTAGGGCAGGGCTCTGTAGATTATATAGTGAAAATGCATTATTTCTTTGAAAATCTTCTTCTCTGCTTCTGGGTATTAAATAAACTAAGCACATAGTTATGATGAGCAAGAGTGCCTCTTCCAGATTTGTGAATTTTATGGCCCCAGGGTCAGGGGTTCTAGTGCTAGGGCGGGGCTCTATAGATTATATAGTAAAAATACATTAATTCTTTGAAAATATTTTCCTTTGCTTCTGGGTTTTATGCCAATGATCCAAGTCTATATATATTTATGATGAAGAAAGGTGCATGTAGCAAAGTGTTTTTTTATGCCCCCAGGGTCAAAGGGGGGGGGGGGGTGTTACATAGTCTGAAAATAAATTAATGCTTTGAAATCTGCCCTTTGCTATTAATCAACCATTTTATGATTACATTTGCAAAATTTTGAAATATGTGGCCCATGGGTCAGTGGGTGAGGTGCACAACTGGTTATAAAGTGGAAGTGCATTTTCTCTTTGTTACTCTGATCTACCTCTGGGTATTAAGTAAATAGAGTAAGCATGCTAAGTTAATAATTATGATAAGCAATGGTGCCTCTTTCAAAATTGTAAATTGTGAATTTCATGGCCTCCGGTCTAAAACACGAACCAAATATAATTGAAAGTTGTTACACAATACTCAGGTGACCTATAAGGCCCATGGGCCTCTTGTTTTTTTCAATTACAGATGACATCACAGTGACAGCTGATGGAACAGATACATACCACTTAGTAAAGGCAGCTGGAAAATACAAGTAATACTTTACAGTGTTTTCCCTAAGAATTGGCTATTAGCTAAATTTACCGTTTCAATTGACAAAAATGCGGATTCAAAATAAAAAAAAAAAATAATAAAAATTTAATTGTTGTTAGGTCCACAGAGATTTTGTTTAAATCCGGGTTACAATTGATCTCTAACTCTTTACTGTGAAATAAAGGGAAAACACTGCTTTTATTCAATGTACATCAATTTAAAAAGTGAAGTATTTTAGTATAACAGAGTCCTATAATTATTCAATGGATTTTTTTTAAAAACTATGATTCTTATTGGAATTTCATTCAAGTTTGTTAAAAGAGAAAGGTAACATATGAACCGTCCTTGCTTCTCTTATTTTCAAAGTGATCAGATATTAAAGAAAGAGTAGACTATTTCTGATATTTTCATTCTACACCAAAAAATTTTGCTTATTCACCACCATTTTACTGAAATGACCTAGAATTGTGTTTGCATTTATTGGAGGAATTAACTCCAGTTCCTTCTTTGTATTTGTTTTCTTTATGTTAACATCCATAAAATCAGAGAAAAGAAAACTACTTTGACTTCTGAATTATGAAATTTTTGTTGTTCTCACTGGGAATGTATTTTCTTTATTACAGAGAATGCAAGAGAACAGCTGGTGTATCCACAACAGATCTTGTAGGAAGGTATGGATATGGAATTATACAAAGCTATGATAATCAGCAGCAGAAACTGTTCACAGATAGCGAAGATATATAATTAAATATTTTATTGAGGATTAGGTTAAGATGGAACAGCCCTGTGTTTTTTGTTGTCTGCTCAGTTCATGTATATAAACAGAACAAAATTGGTTGGATATTAACATTGTTTTTGGTCATCTGTTTAATATTTAAGAGTCAGTGTCTTAATAATAATACCAGGTAGAAGGTCAAGGTCAAAGAGATTCAGGGCAAGTCATTTTTTAAAGTCAAATGGTAATGTGTTGACACCAGAAGTAATGTGTTTTACAGTTGCATTTTGTTTGTGTAAAGTTTTGAGATCTTGTCCAAAAAAGGTACTTGTATGTTCTTACAATATCAACAAAATCCTTTGGGTGAGGGTAAGGTCAAACATACATAGAGAATTAAGTGCAGTGAAATATGTGTAGTAACCGACCAGAGGCCATGATTGTTCATTCATATATCTAAATAATTTTTAGGATGTTACTGGTGACAAAAACTCACCACGAAAGAGATGAGGAAAAACCTGTAGACAAGGCTCAGGCAGGGGACATAGGATCAGTAAGTACAAAAAGGTTATCATACCTTAATATCTCATCTAAGGTTTCTGTTTAAAATATTTATGATTATCTAGCCCTCACTCCATGATGTCCCCAACAGTACAACATATGAGACTTATCGATATGCCAGCAACATTCCATTATTGTCTTCAATGCTCACTGATCTTCAAACAATTTTCAAATTATGTAAGCAAACAGTGAGCTAGATGTTTTGAGTGAAATGGGAAATATTATTTTGAAGAAGATATACTGTAAACGTATTACATTTGGCTGTGTATTCTTTTTAGCAGCTTTGGCGGAACGCAGCAACCGCTAATTCAAGTACAACGCTAAATGTCTCGCATAGAAACACATACATAAGAATATGAAGAAATGCGCTAAATCAAATCTACGCTAACTTATTCAAAAGTCACTTTCCGCCAAATATCGTACACGCTGAATATAATACATTTACAGTATGAGGTAGATATATATATATGACAGAGAGTTCATGTTCACATTATGTAAATGTAGTTTGTAAATATGAATAGAGCATGACACCACCAGATGTAAGTTATTTTTAACAACATTTTAGCTGCATACTACATCTAGAAGTGAAATATAATTTTCTTTGTTGTTTATTCAGAAACTCGGTTCTCTACAAAAGAAAAGTACATTAAATGTAGATGTTCTTTCAGTGTAGCTGCATCTTGTCTAGTACAGCATCATAACATGCAATTTAGTTTGCCAACATAATTCAGAAAATGAAAATGGTGAAGCTGAAAAAGTTTAACCTCCCTAAGGAAATTGCAGTATGCAGTGCTATATTTAAAAAATATAGCAATTTGTATGCAGAGCTACCTGTTTTAAAATGTTCGTTTCCCACAAATTTGAAAATCGATATCTACACATTCACCAAACTTATTATAGATTGAGTTTTTTGTGATCCAGTGTGAATTAAAATGCAAATTTAAGTTACTTGAAACATTTATTAATGAATCAATTAGAATTGCTAACGAGGTACATATATGTACATGTAGGTAAAACATCAACTCTCTCTTCTGATAAGTGGAAGACTAAATTGCGTAGCTAAGCTCTTGATTTTTTTTATTGGCTGTGTAAAATGCAACTTACAGTAACACAGTAAAAAAGTCTTCAATGTGCATGTAATTTACTTCGCAAGCCATGTTTATACTTTGCTTTTTACATCTATTATTCAATCATTTTCTTGTAGGAAGTATGTGGTACAGAGGTGTAACTAATTTCTTAACATATAACAGAAAATGTAGTTTAATGTTGCATTCCTTATTGTTTTATACTTAGTTACTTTTATACACGTTCATTTTACATTTTAAGAATTGTATCAAATTAGCTCCACATTTATAAAACATACACAGAAATGTAGAAATATAGATTAAAAACTAAGTCACATATATGTAATCTAGAATATCACAGAGTAAAAATTTCTTTAAAAATGATCCCTTTCTTGGCCTTTATACAAATTTTTACAATGCAAAGCTTGTTTAATATATGTATTTTTTTTTTTTTTTTTTTTTTTGCTATATGCTGGTAGATGCTTCTATAGGTAACCAGGTGAAATAAATCCTCTTAGTTAACAGTCTAAAAGACCAAAATGATGGAGAGTGATGTATGTTTTAAGTAAGATCAGACTTAGAGACTAGACTACCGAAATTAATTGTACTTGAAGGAGGAGGAAACATTTCATTTTATTGTCCTTAAGGTGAAGGTCAAGGACATTTTTACAATGCTTTTGCCACACAGTAATTGATAAATTTGAGGTGTTTGAGAAAAAAAAAATGACTAAAATTGAAAGGTGAAGATCAAAGTGAAATACAGTTTTTAGCTCACCTCAACGAAGTTGGGGGAGCTTATGTAATACCCTCGGTGTCGGCGTCGGTGTCGGCGTCGGCGTCCCAGGTTAAGTTTTTTGGAGCAGTTTTCTTTTTAAGTACTTCTATGTCCTATATTGATTAGACATGCATGGAAGATGGTTCTAGTGTGTTTCATTGTACCAGTCAAAGTTTCAGATGCTGCAATTTCAGCGAAGGAATGACCAGGTTAATGTTTCTGGAGCAGGTTAACATTTTTGGTGCAGTTTTTGGTGTAGGTTTCATTTCCAAGTAACTATAAGCCCTATGTTGACCAAACTTGCATGGATGGTCATCTAAGGATGCATACTAACAGGCTTGCTTCCGATGCTGAATCTGACCTACATTGTCCGGTTGAGTGAACAGGTTAAAGTTTTTGGTGCAGGTTTCATTTCCAAGTAACTATAAGCTCTATATTGACCAAACTTGCATGGATGATACATCTAAGGATGCATACTACTGGGCTTGCTTCAGATGCTGAATCTGACCTACATTTTCTGGTTGAGTGAACAGGTTAAAGTTTTTGGTGCAGGTTTCATTTCCAAGTAACTATAAGCCTATGTTGACCAAACTTGCATGGATGATACTTCTAAGGATGCATACTACCAGGCTTGCTTTGGATGCTGAATCTGACCTACATTTTACGGTCGAGTGAACAGGTCAAAGTTTTTGGTGCAGGTTTCATTTCCAAGTAACTATAAGACCTATGTTGACCAAACTTGCATGGATGATACATCTAAGGATGCATACTACCAGGCTTGCTTTGGATGCTGAATCTGACCATCATTTTCTGGTTGAGTGAATAGGTTAAAGTTTTTGGTGTAGGTTTCATTTCCAAGTAACTATAAGCTCTATATTGACCAAACTTGCATGGACGATACATCTTAGGATGCACACTAATGGACTTGCTTCGGATGCTGAATTCGACATACATTTTTCAGTTAATAGACCAGGTAAAAGTTATGGGTGCAGGTCTATTACCAAAAAACTATAAGGCTTATATAACATTTTTTTTTTTTTTTTTTTTTTATTTCAATTTTATTTCAATAATAGTTAACAAAAAAAAAATGGAGGTAATACCTCCGCGGAGGCCCTCCTAATATATCTTCACCTGGGGTGCCAGGGGCTCCCTGGATCAGATAGAAATAATTAATTAAATTTGATTTTTGATATACATATATTCAGATGTCCACACTTCAATAAAATATAGCCATTGAAAAGATACAGTTATTTGTATATATAGATAATACAATATTCCACATACTTGTACTGAGTAAGTACATTCTAGAACTATTGAAAAAAAAAATACAGTTATTTGTATATATAAAAAATACAATATTCCACATACTTGCACTTTATACATTTTCATGTACATATAGCATTAAGGAAAAAGAAATAGTCATAGGGGGACACCAACGCACAAGAGTCCACTTTTCCCCCTACGAAAGTAGTCCCCAAAGGCCAGGTCACCTTTGGATCAATATATAATATATAATTTCATAATTTTTCTGACAGTTCTCTGATGATATCAAAATTACATACAATAGTTTTTGATAATTTTGTTATGAGATAGAACTGAGTAAGTGCATTTTTTAAGAAACACAATAAACCATATATATAACATTGTATAAACCAAACTTGCACAAATGTTGCATCAAGAGATGAAAACTCTCAAATTTGCTTCAGATGCTGGATTTTGATTACATTTTCATGAAGAAGAACTAGTTTAAATTTTTTATGTAGGTCTATTTCAAAGTATCAGATCAAAATTGCTTAAATATTTTCATTTTTGGAATGTACACTTTTTGTTGGTTAATTGTGTGACTTTGCCTTACTTAAAGACAACATTCGTTGAGGTGAGCTCTGTAATCTCTGATTACCTATGTTTAGATTGAGACCATGCATATGACTTTGACACAATAGAAGCTTTTGCTCTTTGGCTACTGTGTCCAGTTATCTTGAATTTTGATGCTGTAAGTGGCAGGACGTAAAGGTCAAGTGTCTGGTAAAACTTTGTGATAGGTAGTGAAAATGTCATGAATGGATAATGTATTAATGGGATTGAAGAAAATTATTTGAGATGCTCCCTTTGCAGAACCCCTGTTTCATATATCCTATGTTTTATATACACGGGGAAAATAAATTTAAGACTTATTTTTATAATTTGATGATGTACATGTATACCAGAAAGTTATTAAGAGTATAAAATTTGATTTGAGAATTTGGCCTAAGCCTTCATTTTACAAAATTGATTTTTAGCTCACCTCGACAAAGTCGAGATGAGCTTATGCTATACCCCCGGCGTCGGCGTCGGCGTCCCAGGTTAAAGTTTTAGGAGCAAGTCCATTCCTAAGTAACTATAAGCCCTACCTGAACCAAACTTGCACGGATGATGCATCTAGGGATGTACACTACCACACTTGCTTCGGATGCTGGATCTGACCTACATTTTCTGGATGAGTGACCAGGTTAAAGTTTTTGGAGCAGGTCCATTCCCAAGAAATAATAAGCCCTACCCGGACCAAACTTGCATGGATGATGCATCTAGAGATGGACACTACCAGACTTGCTTCGGATGCTGGATCTGACCTACATTTTCCAGATGAGTGACCAGGTCAAAGTTTTTGGAGCAGGTCCATTCCCAAGGAACTATAAGCCCTACCCAAACCAAACTTGCATGGATGATGCATCTAGGGATGGACACTACCAGACTTGCTTAGGATGCTGGATCTGACCTACATTTTCCAGATGAGTGACCAGGTTAAAGTTTTTGGAGTAGGTCCATTCCCAAGGAACTATAAGCCCTACCCAGACCAAACTTGCATAGATGATGCATCTAGGGATGGACACTACCAGACTTGCTTCGGATGCTGGATCTGACCTACATTTTCATTCCCAAGGAACTATAAGACCTACCAAAACCAAACTTGCATGGATGATGCATCTAGGGATGGACACTACCAGACTTGCTTCGGATGCTGGATCTGACCTACATTTTCATTCCCAAGTAACTATAAGACCTTCCTGAACCAAACTTGCAGGGATGATGCATCTAGGGATGGACACTACCAGACTTGCTTAAGATGCTGGATCTGACCTACATTTTCATTCCCAAGTAACTATAAGACCTACCTGAACCAAACTTGCATAGGTGATGCATCTAGGGATGGACACTATCAGACTTGCTTCGGATGCTGGATCTGACCTACATTTTCATTCCCAAGTAACTATAAGCCCTACCTGAACCAAACTTGCATAGATGATGCATCTAGGGATGGACACTACCAGACTTGCTTCAGATGCTGGATCTGACCTACATTTTCATTCCCAAGTAACTATAAGCCCTACCTGAACCAAACTTGCATAGATGATGTATCTAGGGATGGACACTACCAGACTTGCTTCGGATGCTGGATCTAACCTATATTTTCATTCCCAAGTAACTATAAACCCTACCTTAACCAAACATGCATGTATGATGCATCTAGGGATAGACACTGCCAGACTTGCTTCAGATGCTGGATCTGTCGTATATTTTCATTCCCAAGTAACTATAAGCCCTACCTGAACCAAACTTGCATGGATGATGCATCTAGGGATAGACACTACCAGACTTGCTTCGAATGCTGAATCTGACCTATATTTTCCCAAGGAATTATAAGACCTACCCGAACCAAACTTGCATGGATGATGCATCTAGGGATGGACACTACCAGACTTGCTTCGGATGCTGGATCTGACCTATATTTTCCATACAAGAGACCAGGTTAAAGTTTTGGGAACAGATTAATCCCAATGAACTTGAACATTGATATCTGCAGTATTAACAGATTAATAAATATTTGTTTACACTATACATGTTTTTCATGCTACATGAGTAGAAATGTGTATATGCCCTGTAAGAGGTTAAACACAACTTGCAAGAATATTGTTGTTGGGATAAATACTAGATATTAAGAAAATATGATGTGAGATTTGCATTACTTACACTGATAACATTCATCGAGGTGAGCTTCGTAATCTTTGATTACCTATGTTTGTGATATGGCTGAAGTCTCCTTTCATTCTTCAATCTTGTTTTCCAAAAATCATGTATGTCTTAAGTGAGTTCACTAGCTCTGCTTGTAAAATTTTATCGGAGTGCACATATACCTTGAAGAGGAAATGAAAGAAATATACATGTATGAGTGACTGTATGCACCCCACCCCCCTCTAGAATTTTCTTCTCCATAGATCTGATTATAGTTGGATAATAAAATTGTTTAATAAAATCATTTATCAATTTTATTTATATAGATGTTAATTTGCATGAATGTTCAGGTTATATTTATTATATTTTGTATTTTAAATACACATTATGAAAAAGAAAATTTCTTTTTGCACCTATTCATAAAAATAAAAAATATTTGGTATGTCAGAGAAAAAAAAATTAAATTCTTGTTAAAAAAAGGAAACAAGCAAAAGCATGAAGTTTGTTATTAAATTTTCATTTTAAGTAATTCCTGTTTGTATGATAAAATTCACATCAAATTAATAATAAGTATACATGTAGCTGACTTGTTAGATATTTTGTAAACTTTTAAAGTAATAATTAGTACAAATCTTTATTTTAAATCTATCATATTGAGGAGGAATATGGATACATTTTTATTTTGAGATATTTTTTAACTACCTCCATGATACTTATTTCTTCACAGGGCAGTAAAGGTTGCAGTCCCTGGACCGGTGTCTCACAGTTTCTACCCACCTCCAATAAAATCATCCAGTTCTCCTCCGGAAAGGAACCCAAACCGGGAGATAGAATCGTCTATGTGGCTGGAGCTTATGATCTTTTTCATATCCTTTTTGAAAACTTATAATACACCAGGGCTAGACAAAGATGTAGATTGATATCTATCATATATGCTGAAGTTTCATAAAGAATGGATGAACTTTCTTTTTAAAAAAAAAAAAAAAAAGAAGCAAAGATGCGAGGTGCATGTACTATGGCCAGTACTTCCTATATACGGTGTAGTTATAAGCACATGCATTTAAAATACTCATTATATATCTTCAATATAACATGTTTAATGACATGCTGGTTTAAAAATTAAAGAATTTTTGTAAATAATGGTTTGAGGAAGCAAAATTCAGAGTTTAGGTCATTTATACGATTGTTAAAGTCAACATTTTTATTTACTATGTACATATGTATGCAGGTATAGTTGTTTTAATTTACTTCTGTGTTGACCTTGACAAAAAATTAACATGTAGGTCATTTAGATTTCCTAGAGAAAGTTAAACAGGAGGGAGATTTTGTTATAGTAGGCCTTCACACTGACCCTGTAAGTATATCAACCTTGTATACACATGCAGAACTACATGTATTTAGTAATTATTTTAAAGTTGGTTAATGAGATGGATTAAATAAATATTTCCTACTTCTGTTTAATAAAACTGTGACGTAGCACTGTCGGATGAATCATTTTCACATCTTTTCAGGCTGTGAATAGATATAAAGGATCTAATTTCCCTATCATGAATTTACATGAAAGAACATTAAGTGTCCTAGCTTGTCGGGTAAGTCATATTCTTGTAGCTAAAAAAACCCCAGAAGTCTCTGTTAAGACTGTAGCTCTACTGGTTTGTACTTATAACAAAGGAGGAAAAAAGTAGCATTTTGAAAGATTTTAACAGAAATTTCTATTTTAATTTAGAAATCAAGGCAACACTGTTCATCGAAGTCAAAAACTGATGCACTAAATCATGTATCTTAGTGTAGTCTTCCTCTGTGCCAAGTTATAGCGAAATCAGACCAAAACTGTAGGAGGAGTAGCGTTTTAAAGGAATTTCACAGAAATTTCTATTTTTAGTAACCATGGCAACACCGTTCAGCGAAATCAAAAACCGATGCACTATTTTATGTATCTTTGTGTAGTCTACTTGTGTGCCAAGTTATCAGATAAATATCTAGGTCAAGTTCTGTTTTGGGTAGTTTTTGACAGTTATGCCCCTTGGATTGAAATCAACAAAAACTGTAGGAGGAGTAGAGTTTCAAAGGAATTTCACAGAAATTTCTATTTTTAGCAACCATAGCAACACCGTTCAGCGAAATCAAAAACCGATGCACTATTTTATGTATCTTAGTGCAGTCTACGTGTGTGCCAAGTTATATTGAAATCAGACCAAAACAGTAGGAGGAGTAGCATTTTGAAAAATTGTTTACAGACAGACGGACACCTTACCATCGCATAAGCTCTTCTGGTCTCTGACCAGTAGAGCTAAAAATGAAACAGTTGCAAAAGTTTTTAATTCAGCTGTTGTTGTCTTTTAAAACTTTTAAAATGTATCACAAGGATAAGTCTTATTTTCAATTTGCCTATGATTATTTTTCTGTTTTCACCCAAGACCACATAATAATTGTAAGAATATAATGTTATTCATAATTCAAGTAAGTAAATTCAGACTTGAGTGATTTTAACAGATACAAAGCTTTTTACATGGATATGCATGGTAAATTCCTAATCTAACAGAAAAAAAAAATCTATAAATTTGTGCCTAGAAATCATATGATCAATACTCAATCAATTATTTATATGATATATACATTTCAGTATGTCTCAGAGGTTGTAATAGGAGCTCCCTATGCTGTGACATCTGATCTCATGGATCATTTCAAGGTGCAGTATATAAATCTCATTTATAAACCATTACATATCATCACCGTCTATTTAGGTAACAAACTGATATGGTACATGATAAAATAATGTCCTTAAAAAATGAAACTGGGAAATATTTCTTATGTTACACTAAGCAGACTTCTGCCCCCTTTATGGTATTCTTTTGTCACTGTTTTGGACTGTTCCTTTCACAGGTTGATCTGGTCTGTCACGGACAAACTCCCATCATGCCTGATGTTGACGGAGCTGATCCTTATGCTGTAAGTAATTTGTGGTTTTGAAATAGTTGCAGATTCTGTATGTTTACTTGATTTACAATTTGTTTTAATCACAATTTATGTTTTCCAGGAACCTAAACGTAGAAATAAATTCAAGCTTCTGGATAGCCAGTGTGACCTTACTACTCAAATGATTATAGACAGGATCATTTCTCATAGGTATTTGGTCAAAATTGTTTTAAAAATATTTGAATATATAGCTTAAGGTAAATGTACAACACATATTTACTTTCTTTTATATACAGAACATTATTTACATGTTTGATGTTCAAAATTTGTTGTAATTTGTAATCTGCAGGTGTATACATACTAAATTTAATTGCATTTCAGACATTAAGATAAGAATAAGAAGCAAAATGAGCCTTTTAATTATAACAGATTTAACAGTACGGATTCTTTCATTGTGCATTACATTATCTTTACTAGGTTGCTATATCAGTCTCGAAACAAGAAAAAACAAGACAAAGAACTGAAGATTTTGGCCATGTTGGAAAAACAAGCCAGTGGGTAGAAACTGCAGCTGATTCTTATAGGAAAGACAATTGATAGGATTTTAAATTGAGGTCACGTGTAGATGTGTGCATAGTTATATTTAGATTTTACTAGACTTGAAATTTTATAATTTTGAGGTCCTGTTCTAGAGGATTGATATATACTCTCTCATCTATAAATGTGTGTACAGTGGAGCCCCATTTATCCGGACGCTTTGGTTCCCAGTCAATTTGTCCGGATATGTGAAGCGTCTGGATACCTGAATCACCAGTTAAACAAGACAAAATAACATATAAAAAAATCCGTTCTGATGAAAAAACGTCCGGATACTGAAGCATCCGGATATCTGGCGTCCGGATATCTGAAGGCCCACTGTATTGTATTACATTTAAAAAGGAATTTATGTTTTTGTCATAGACAATGTTCTGGATTTGAAATTTCTTTTTTTTTTATTCTTTGTAAGAATACTGATTACCTCCCCTGTAATCTGTTAACAGTCCATATCCTCCCTGTATTATTTTTAGTAACAACACCATGTCCCGCTTCTGTAACCATTACCAAACAATATCTGCTGCTCCACAACATCAAAACCAGTTTATATTGACTAGATAAAAAGATGTCTGTTTTAGATACTGTTGTCAAAATTATTAATTTTTTTTTACGTCATTCTCCTTTTCTGTGATTTAAAACTTATTTATACCTGTATTGTTTTGTATATAATACAAATCACTATTTATTTAGCTTTTTCAAGTACCTGTATGTGCAAGTCTTATAAATAAACATATTCATTTGCTTTTAAAATTGTCCTGATTCTGTCTCTAAAGAACAGTTTCATGTAGAACCATAGTAATAATAAAGAAACTTTTCTCAACCTAATATTACTTGGCTCATTATTTAGGTGTCTATAAAACAATTATCCATTTCCAGTTTCCACTGTATGTCATTTTTTACTTTGCAAAAAAGATGTATTTTTCCATCATTTTTGGATTAAAACAGGTTGAATTTTATGCAAAATAGACACTGGCATCAGACAAAGATGCCCTCTTTGTATTTCTTAATTTATATTTTCCATTATATTAATGTTCATCTTGCATGCATATTTGAGGTGTTTGTTTTACTTTGTTATTTATATTTGCTGCTGTGTTATTTTTTACTCCCCTTAAGGGCTTGTGATAAACTTTAAGTTCATTTTTAATATTCATTATAAATTAGTGCTCATTATATTTGCTGCTGTGTTATATTTTTACTCTCCTTCTTAAGGGCTTGTGATAACTCGTGACACAGTATGTGTCAATGCAAACTTTAAGTTCAAACTTTATATGTATACATGTATTTGGTATACATGTATTTATTTAAGATTTTTTTTCTTAACCATTATTTAAATTAGTGCTCATTCATTATTTAATATTAAACTTGTTTATTTATGTTTTAGTGTGCATTGATATTTCAACCTAAACAAACTTGTACATTAATCAGATGAATATCAATGTATTTTTTTACAGAGTTATGTCCCTTGGACTTAGAAAAATTTCATGTGTGATTTCTGTAAGATAAAAATTTAGTATACCAGTAATTGTTCATTTTCTATTCACAAAAAGAAACATTTTCTAAGATTTCATAGAGTTCAAACATTTTGAAAATGTGCTTTATTATGAACAAATATATTTCTATTTGCATAATAGACATATAATTGTACAGTATTAAATTTTGTGAAAGTAAACGAGAGAACATTTATTTCTATTTTATTCTTGAAAGTGTAGGTGTGATTTATGGCAGACAGAGGCTCTGTTTGAAGGGAGTAGATGAGCACAAGTAGTACTGCTTAGACAAAAAGAAATATTTTTATAGACAGTCACATTTTTGAATCATATTGAAGTGCCTGCATTCAACTCTTCCCTTGTCTATATTTGTGAATACATATAGTGATCAATCTGCTCCTACTCACTCATTTGCATTGGTAATACTGTGAAATTAATTTTGTTTTTTAAAGGAATGAAGAGACCAAGTTCACATTTCTTCCACAAAATGTTAACTTTCTAATATTTTACTACTCTACACTTGTTTTTGGTTCACCAAAGATGCCTTAACTGACAAAGTTTGATATGATTCAACATTTCTTTCTGTGCACAATATGTATACCGGGTACTTGTATGATCCACACAATTTGACTATTTATTATTCAAAGCTATACGTATATGTTCATAATTTCAAAATGAGGTCACATGCCCTACTTTTAGGACCTTACATATTTTTATCTCCCGCTTTCGCAAAAGTGAGGAGACATTAAATCTCAGTTGTCTGTCTGTCTGTCACAAACTTGAACCTTGGTCATATTTTTTTGATTGATTGTATGTTGTTTAACGTCATTCTTGAGAATTTTTCACTCATACGGAGATGCCACCACTTGCCAGTGGAGAGCTACAAATTTTGTCCCATACTCGGCACTCAGGGCCATTGAGCAATAAGGGATCTTTTTCCTGCCAGCACCTACTGCGACACTCGACCTCAGTTTATTCGGTCTCATCAGAAGAACCGGTCTCCATGTCTCATATCTTTTGAAAGAGAAGAGATAGGACTTTCATATTACATATGTGTATTATCTGTGACAAGACCAAATACACTATGAATTTTGACCCCCTGACCTTGAAGTCTTACCTACTTTTCAAATCCTTTAACCTTGATCATAAATTTTGGATGAGAAGATTGAGGGATTTCATCTTTTAAATGTATATTTAATACCTGTGACAAGACCTTTTTAAATACATGTACCGGTACACTGATTTTTGGCCCAGTGACCTTGATCTATATATTTCATATACTAAAATGTTTATTTTTCATTGCAACATTTGATAGAGAAGAGGACTTTCATATTTGACATGTGTATTACCTGTGACAAGATATTCCTGAGCATGCTATGATTTCTGATTCCTTGACCTTCATATTGGACCTCATATTAAAAATAAACAAATTTGGTGATAAATTTTGAATGACATATGATAGGGCATTCATATTTGATACAATATGCCATAAATAATGACATTTCACCAACAAAAACACCGAAAGTGGGGGACCACAATTCTGTTACTGTGACATACCCAAAGTTCATCAAAAATCACCTGCGGATATCTCTTCTTTTAGTTATCACTTTTAGATGAGATTTCCCATTGTTATCCGACAATGACCCATAGTCCAATTCTTCCAAGAGTACACAAAGCCATAAAGTGCTAAAAGGTGGTAAAACTGACAGACTTTTGGAAATGCAGCTTGGTTTGATAATTTTAGGCCTCACAGTATGCAGTCTGACTACATGTTTTGCCATAAAATTTTACAATGAGACCACAACAAACTACATTTGGGTTGCAACCCACCTACTTAAGATGTTTCAACTGATAGGTATAATGATTCTACTTCAAAATATTCTGGTAACCCAAAACATGTTTTGACTATAAATAAAATTAAACAAGATGTGTTTGTGAAACACTGATGCCCTCCGTATGTCAGCTTTTAGGGAGGATTAAAGTTTCTCAAGTGCAAGTCAAAATCCAGGGTCAAAATTTTTCTATCCAAAGGAAGGTGTTGTCACAAGGAATAAACCTGTGAAATATGACCGCCTTTGCACCAACTGTTCAGAAATAATGGCCGAGGTTAAATTTTTTCTTTAAAGTGGGTCAAACTCTAAGGTCAAGGTCAAAAATATTTACACCAATTGAAAGCTCTTGTCCCAGTTAATATACATGGAAAGTATGAAAGTTCTAGCACCAACTATCCAAAAGTTAGAGCCAAGGTTAAAGTTGGGAAATTTTTTGGTAAAAGTGGGTCAAACTCAAAGGTTAAGGCCAAGAGGTCAAATTTGGTGGTATCTTAAGAAAGGTCTTGTCACAAGGAATTCACCGATTAAATATGAAAGCCATAGCCTCATGCATTCAAAAGTAATTGGCAAGATTTTGCAGAGTTACAGTTTAACACACAAACAGATAGACAGACACAACAAAAACTATATACTCCCAAATATTTGATTATAGGGGCATTAAAAAATTCCAAAAATGAGGGAATGTCCTGTTGGAGTGTGACACTGCTGCTACTAAGATGACCAGGTTTGATGATACTATAGTATAGGCCTCACAGAGTGTAAAATAGGATCTAAACATGCTTTGATTACTAAAAGAGGTAAACTTTCAAAATTAAGCCAATACTAGCGAGACAAGATTTGGACTTGAAATTATGTAAGACTAGTCAAAATTGGTTTATTCAATTTTCAAAAATTGCCGCTTGTATACCACATGCACTGTCATTACTTCTCATACTGTCTCTCTCTCAGCATTATATAAGTACATATATGAATTGTTTTAAACTTCATATTCTTTCGGATAACCAAATAGCTCCATGACATCCAACTTTTATCACCTGTGAAAGAGCTTCATACATTGGTGCCTAGAAAAAAAAAATAAAGAAGCTGTTGAAAGGGATTTGATTATAATCAAAGTTTCTGATATTGTACTACAAAATAATTTGTAATGCAAGTTAATAGTTCCATATCAGTGAAACTGGGGAGGCCATAGGTTTCTTCCTTGTCTGTCAGTCTCTCTGTCCACCTGTCAGTGTGTCTAATTTGGATTTCTATATTTTTTGTTTTCTAAATACTTGCTGACTCTTGATATGTTTGTATATCTTGATGGGTTACAGATCAACGTTGCATTCTTAAGATATTGAACGAACAAGATTTTCCTACGTTTAGAAAAGCTGAAGCCACAATCTTTGACCTTGTGATCTGGAAATTAATAAAGATCATTGTTTTTTCAGGTTTTGAGTATGCATCAAGTTTGATTTCTGCCAAGCAAATGTTCTGAAGATATCAAGCAGACAATTCTTGGTCTGTCAACATTCCCAATAACTGACTTGTGCAAAGCAATATGCCTCCTATTTCAAAAAAACAAAAGTGGGGATATAAAAAATATTAAAAGAATGACATCACTACTGTAAATGTTAAAACCAGAATCCCCCTTACCTTTTCTGCATCGTGTTCTAATCCAGTGTCATGATGATGAAGTTCGTCATCTCGAAATTTACTCAGTTTCTAGAAGAAGAAAACATAAAGCTTTTATTACACTAATACACTAGTACACGCAAATGTGTCTGTTTTTTTTTTTATATTTTATTACCTGTATATGAATATTTAATGTAAGAAACATGTCTGGTTTTTGTGTGCATCTCACCTGTATCAGATCTTTGTGTTTCTCTGGATCATCCTCCATCAGATCTCGAATCTGACTGTTGATAAAGTATTACAGGTTACAAGTATCTCTTAGAAAAAATCACAAAATAAATGTTGTGAAAGAGAGCAACTATCTTCACCATTTTTACTTTTAAAAAATGTTATAAAATCAATTTGAATCTACGTCTTGTCCATCACATTTTTCTCCTTTCCCTACACATTTGGTGCATTGACCAAGATATGAAATGTGACAGACCTACCAAGGAAAAACCTAAGTTAGTGTCTTTGCGGGGCCAAGGACTTTTAAAGAGGGAGGAATGTCATGGTTACATGGGTTTTATCGTCGGTTGCCAGATAATTCATTTGGTAAAGCACCTGTCTGGAGATTCAAGGGGCTTGGGTTTCGAATCCCCATCTGGTCTTTGCACTTTTCTCCTCTCCCATTACACATATATAGGTGTATAGATGGACACACCAATACATCTTAATTTTTTTCATACCTGTGTACAATTAAGTGTCTGTGTATCCTTACCTGTTATAATGTTCACCTATCACCGACTCAACCGCCACTGTACACGCCATAGCTCCTTCCTTGCCCAGCATGGCTGTTCCTGCACCTGTGATCAAGTCAATTATGACAATATATCTCAAAATGTGTGCCATCTGAAAATTTTTGTCAGATAAATTAAACTTCTTACCTTCCAGATAAAAAAAATTGACTGTCAAACAATATCTAAATTGTTAACTTTAACAAAAGAGGGAGACTAAAGAATTAACAAAAGTCTGTTGAAAAATATATTTTTTCTCTATTGTTGTTAAAAAAAATACCACAGTTTTAAAATTTTAATTAATGTATTTTAGGAAAATTTCTTGTCAGATCTCCACCTAGGACAAATCCAGCAACATTCCAGAGAGGTAGCAGTGCAGTGGGCCTCACCCTCTTCTCCACGATCAAGTGATTAAATGTCTCCAGATGTTCCTGTTCCTGCTCTTTCATTTCCTAAGTCAAACAAAGAGTTGATAATGAATGCCTCAAACTGGTGAGGACTTAATAGTTGGTTTACAGAATGTTCACTGTCATATTTATGAAGGTTATTACATGTATTACTAGATGAAAGTTCAACTAAGTCATACCCTTGAAACATACATTCTACAATTTGGTGAAGGGTAAATAGCTTATTACCATGTACATGTATAAATCTTGCTTGCTACATGTATTAAAAATGTCCAGGAATAAATGATTTTCAAATGTTCACTGCATGTATGATAAAATTTCAATACCACCGGCACCACTGAGCTCATGGTTGCATAAGAATTTAACATTGCGTAAGGGCTAGCTGCTCATTCTTATAATAATGCAATCAATTTGCCTGTTCATGTTAATGAGACAGAGTACAGAAAAACATTTATAATGTAAAGGTGCATCACATTTTTAAAAGATCATAGATAACCCGACAGACCAACTCAGCCTGGGAAACAGCCCCTTATTAAAACTGTCCCAGTCAAAGCGCCCCCTGATTTTGGTCAAAGCGCCCCCTGACATATTTTTATAGAAAAACTAAGTTTCTAAACCGTCCCCAAATATTGGTCAAAGCACCCCAAAATTTGGGCAATGCACCCCCCTTACATATTTTTTTTTAAATAGAAAAATGAAGTCCATACAACATCTCATAGAGATTTTTTTTTTCCATCTGTGAATCCCACTTAGTTTGTGTTGAAAAAATGAATTAGTATTAATGTCCAGATTATAAATGTATGGCATAATAAATAATATCCACCTGTATTATGGGTCCAACAGAGGTCTTGCCTAAGACAGCGATTTGTCCTGCATAAATCCGATCAGCTCCCAGTTCTCCTGCTTGATCTACCCTGATTATGCGACTGAGCAGTTTTCTGGTTTTCTCATCTCTGGCACGTTGGCTTATGCGCCTTATGCTCATTTGGCAAAGCAAAGGGAAAGACATATTTCAAAGTTAAATTCCTTACATAAGCCTCGGCAAGAGTGGTGATACTCTTAATTAGCTTCTCGCCGTGACAAGTCTACCAATCAATGGACTTGTGCCCTGAAAACATTAAGAAATATAAATCCACTACTTTTCTCCAGGAACTAACATAATATACCATGATTTTTAGCATGTTCAATTATGTAATATTTTCATGCCGACCGAATTTACTCAGTATGACTTTGTTAATTATCGGCCAGAGACTCTGTATCAGTCAACCTTTTGAAAATTGTTATATAACGTTACTTTTATTTCAAGTACAGATTGTATATGCTTACCTTTGGTGTACCTGTCTTGTTCTCACATTTTCTGCACTAGAAAATAGGAACCTCTTTTGATCGACGCGTCTGCTGTCACGTTCGTAAGAACGAAAGTACACGTGCAGGCTCGCACAAAATGTCTTCTACATTAACATCATCTTTTTTATTCCATTTTATGGGTACCTTTCAGACTGAAATATCTTTTCAAAATTCTTTAAACATTTATATATTTTTCATTTTGAAAAAGATAAAATACTGCTGAATATATCTCCTAAAATATTGACCAATCATACGCTTTGTTTATATTTATCAACCCCGTCAAAATAGAAGTTGACATGTATCTTCGATTTTTGAAGGAGATTTAAATGTTTCAGCAGATTGAAGTCCTTTATTGTCATTCTTCATTTGAATGAAGACATTTCTTGGAAATGATTAGAGGAAGTTATTATACGCACAAGAAGCAAATATCATTTTTAAAAATTCCACAAATATGCTAATTAGTTGAGGGAGCTCGGGGTTTTCTTTTTATGAATGGAGAAGAACAGCTGACTCTGTTAAAGATCAATCCAGTGACATTAAGACTGAACCTAGAGGTAAGCGAATTATGTAACATTAGAAAAGAATATTACTACATGTATTTTGTAATTCATTGTTAAATAATGTTTTAAAAATGAACTTGGGGAAAATTCCAAGGTTGAAAAAATGACTGAGTTGACCATGTTTATGTAATGATCATAAACATAATTAAAGTGAAACCAGGAAACACTGAACTTTAAACCCTGGAATAAATTAAGCAGAATGTGTATTCATTGAACAGTCCAGATATACACCTAGTTATACCTGTGCACATATACCACACAGGTAGGTCAATATGTAAAATCATTCAGACAAGGTCGACCATTAGATTACGCCATCATTGTTAAAGGAAGGGTCATGATCATTGATGACTAAGGTAGAAGGTATTGTGCTCAACCCAGCTCATAGGCCTACATGTATGTCTCCTCAAAAATTTTAGCTTGATGTTCCTGAAAATTAGTGACATTTAATCACTTTACTTTTGGGAAATCATTATTGCATGCTACATGTAATGTAAGCAAGGATATAAACATATATGATGAATAAATTTGATCTTTTTTTTTTGTAACTATTTGTCTAATTTATTAACAAATTGTCAAACAGCAGCCATACTATACTTCTTGCAATTTTAGTGATAACTAATAAAATTATTCCTTTAATTTCAGACCAATCAATCTAGCTGGTTTCATGTAATACATTTGTATATTGTGGACCAGTAATGATTGAGTTTTAGTTTAAAGTACGGCGTTGAAGATTAAACTCACATTTTAATTTTTGGAAAAAGAGTAGGGAACATAGATATCAGGAATTGGTCCTTAAAATTTAACCCTAATGGGGTAGTGGGAAATCGTCAAACATTCAATTTAAATTCCAGTGACCTCAAGATCACTTTAACTGCATGACCTCAAGATCACCTTTACTGCAGGGCTGTCCCAGCAAGTGCATCCCAACCAATTTCATTGTGACCTTGAACCCCTTTTTATCCGCCCGGATCGATAGATCCGAGGCGCATATTGTTTTTGTCCTTTCAGTTTGTCTGTTTGTTTGTCTGTCTGCTGAAAACTTTAACCTTCGCCATAACTTTTGAACCCTGAGATATAGAGACTTCATATTTGGTATGCATACTCCACTAATAAAGTTCTTTCAAAAGACAGCAAGGTCAATGACCTTGTGACCTTGACAGTGACCTAAATGCTAAAAAAAGCTTTTTCAAACTTTTGCCATAACTTTCGAAGCATAGGAGATAGAGACTTGGTATGCATACTCCACTACTAAAGTTTTTTCAAATAACATTAATATCAATGACCTTGTGACCTTGAACTGTGACCTATATGCTAAAAATAGTTTTTTGTAACTTTGTTGCCGCCGGGCGCATAGTGTTTCACAAACACATCTTGTTTAGACTTTGTATTTAACCTATTTCTGGAACACTGAGCTGGATTTGTTTTTTTTTATTTTACTGTGTTTATGTTAATACAGCAACAAATATGCAGGTAGCTGTAGCAAAATTTTATTGCATTCTTTTCACTTTTCTTGTGCATGACCTTAACCTATGTCCTTACACAAATTTGTACTTAAATATCTGTACAACTCAGGAATGTAATTGAGACTGTAGGTAACTTAGAGTTAGACATACAAAAATGAAATGTGATAAAATCTTAATGGCCTCTACCTTGTTGCATTCAGTAATTAATATAAAAATGCATGTTGTGCTTATTAAATTGCTGCAATATTAAGTCATGCAGTTATGGTAGGTGAAAAGATTTACCAGGTAATTAGTAACATTGATTGAATGAGGTTTGTTTAATGAGACCAGTACTACTTTTAACTCTGATGCTTTGTTCATGTAAATATAACATTGTGCTTGTATGCATATATGTACCCATCATTATCCATCATGTTATGAGTAAAATGAACCAAAAAAAAGAAACACAAGTGGAAAGAGCATTAATTGGAAACAACTTCCTTTTCAAAAATTATAGCAGATAAAAAATGTAATTTATTTGGGAAGTTTCCAGTTTTTGCTTTTGAATAATTCGTTACCAGTCTATTAATATAAAAAAAAATTGAGTTTGGCACTGCATGTTTGACTTTGAAAAAAAAAAATTCCATGCCTGTATAGCATTTTTGATAATAGCATGCCCTTTAATCCTTTCAAAATATGAAATTTTAATTAAATCTTTTGATACTATCAAATTGACTGCTGCATCTTTACAACTTTCATTATCCTGAGTTTTATGTGTATCTGCCAAAAGTTCATTGATAAAAATAAGAAGGCATTGATTAAACATAAAATCACTATTGAATATTTCACCTTTTTTAGCAGGTTTGTTATTTAAGATACCCCACCCCCATCCCTTCCTCCTTAATTCAATTCAGGGTTATGAGAGCTTTATGTTTGCATTTTGTAAATGTAGAGGCTCAACTGCAATATAAGGATAAAGTAGTACTTTGACTGAAGCATTATTAACATATTCATACATCACTGTATATTGTAGCAATGTTATGGAGTTAATTATTTCTACATTCCACACATATGGATTTACTGTCGACCAGGGAAGGTTGACGGTTGACAGTTGACAATTCCCTTGTGTTCTAGTGTCGACCGGGGACAGGTCGACGGTTGACAGTTGACACTTCCCTTGTGTTCTAATATCGACCTGGTAAAACAGGTCGACGGTTGACAGTTGACATTTCACTTGTGTTCTAGTGTCGACCGGGGACAGGTCAACGGTTGACAGTTGACACTTCCCTTGTGTTCTAGTGTCGACCGGGGACAGGTCCACGGTTGACAGTTGACATTTCCCTTGTGTTCTAGTGTCGACCGGGGACAGGTCAACAGTTGACAGTTGACACTTCCCATGTGTTCTAGTATCGACCTGGTAAAACAGGTCGACGGTTGACAGTTGACATTTCACTTGTGTTCTAGTGTCGACCGGGGACAGGTCAACAGTTGACAGTTGACACTTCCCATGTGTTCTAGTATCGACCTGGTAAAACAGGTCGACGGTTGACAGTTGACATTTCACTTGTGTTCTAGTGTCGACCGGGGACAGGTCAACGGTTGACAGTTGACACTTCCCTTGTGTTCTAGTATCGACGTAAAACAGGTCGACGGTTGACAGTTGACATTTCACTTGTGTTCTAGTGTCGACCGGGGACAGGTCAACGGTTGACAGTTGACACTTCCCTTGTGTTCTAGTATCGACCTGGTAAAACAGGTCGACGGTTGACAGTTGACATTTCACTTGTGTTCTAGTGTCGACCGGGGACAGGTCAACGGTTGACAGTTGACACTTCCCTTGTGTTCTAGTATCGACCTGGTAAAACAGGTAGACGGTTGACAGTTGACATTTCACTTGTGTTCTAGTGTCGACCGGGAACAGGTCGACGGTTGACACTTCCCTTGTGTTCTAGTGTTGATCGGTGACAGGTCGACGGTTGACAGTTGACACTTCCCTTGTGTTCGGGGACATTAACCCTAATCACAGCTATAAATGCAAAACTAACCCTTATCACAGCTGTTGATACAAAACTAACCATTAACCATGACAGTAGAAATGATTAAATGTCAACTGTCAACTGTCCCGGTCGACAGTAGAACCGAATCACTACTTCTATATACACAAGCTTTCGCATAGGGACTACATACCCTTATATTGGAGTTTACCCAATGTATGTAACACTGATCAGAGACTATTGGAGTTGCATCCATGGAAACCTTGTATAAAAAGAACAGGTATTAGGCTGCAGCATGTTCATATTTGGAGATCTTATTGCTTGACTGCAGTGGATGTACAGTGTACTCCATCCCTCAGAAGTTTGCTCATACCTGGAATTTTTATGTGCATATATCATGTTTTATATTTGTTTTAGATATTATCATCAGAAATCATTATTATAGATATATGTACATGAGGTGGTATAAATCTCAAGGTCCAGTGACACTGTCGCAATATGAACTGCTAGCATGAAAAAGATCCCTCACTGCTCAATGGCCCTAATTAAGTGCCCAGTTTAGGACATAATTTTCAGTTCAGGCAAGTGGTGGGATGTCCATATGAGCAAAAAATTCTGGAGACTCGGGGATGTTAAAACAACATACATACAAACTTGGTTTAGCCTCTGCTAGTTAAAAAAAATCTTCATTTAGATTTATAGGTCTCTATCAGTAATTACGAAGACAGCAGAATTATGTGCATTATACAAACAGTATCATCTCCATGATGAGGATCTAGGAATATGCAATGAAAAGTTGGAAATCAATAATTATAGCCAGAAAAGTAGTCACATTAGCTGACTATAGAGTTAATGCAGATTGAAACTTGCAATAATTGACATTAAATTTTCAATCAGTGCAGTTCCAGTGTATACACTAGGGTAAGATTGGGGGATAAATAAGGCATTAGAAGGAACCTGTGTTTAATGATGTGGGGAAACTATTGGGGAACAATCTTTACTGTTATAGGAGGCATATGTAATATATTTGCTCTATTTCGTGTGAACGCTTCAAAAAGCTCTTCAGCAATTTCCCAATCGGTGTAATTAGTCTCGATCAAACAAAACATCATAACTGTGCTTGATTATCCAACAAAAAAGCATATATGATTATGCAAATACATTTTGTACAATTGTTTTCATGATATATTGCTGGAAATTTGTTTTTTCTTGATCAGTTTGAATACCAGTTAACATGTTTATTCTCACATTTCTGCTTTTCATACAATTTTCTGGACTTAAGTTTCATATGATGCTTCACCTGATAAGATTTATTAGGAGATATTATGTTCCATCATTGGCAGATTTTGTCAGATGTTATTCATTGTCCACCATTTGAATTTCCCACTTCCAGGGGGAAGAAATCTCATATTAAAAGGTTCTTAAGTCATTTATCATATTGCTGAGGTATGTGTTTTACAGTACATGAAATAGCTCATATTTTGGCAAGAAATATCTTTAATTAAAAATATTTGGAGATAAACAATTAAATGAAAACAGCATTGAACTATTTTGAATATGCAATTCATTATCAGTTCTGTATATAATTTACTTGGCATTAAATTTTCAATCGGTGTCTGAATCACTCACTCACTGTGTTTAACAAAATAATCAGTACATTGTAAGGTCAGTAACTATTTGCACATATATTAATTATTATACAATGGTGGTAGATTAGACATTTAAGATAAATTGGTGGTGTCTTCTTTCTTTCATTTGTTTTACAAAAGGCACTAAAAACTTAGAAGTTAAGAACAATTTTTACATACATGATTGTATATGTGTATAAATATATTGAATATCAAATTCTTCTGTACACAAATGAAAATGCTCAGATATTATCAAATTAATAAATTAAAACACATTTAGTATTCATTAAATGTGCTGATTCGATCTTCATTTCGGATTTATTTTAAGACTTGTAAGGTGATAAGGTCACAGCTTTATTACAACACAGCTCTATAAACATAAGTGTGATAAGTTGAACATTTAAGTTATGGGACATTACATAAGCCCTTGGAGATGAATATTTGACAAAATTTGGTTATCTTACCTGTTGGTATGAACCACTGGATTAAAGCCCCAAGAGATTGAAATATTTTACCAATGTAGCAATTATATTTTGATATATCCCCCTTTCCATGGCTGAACATGCATGTATTTATTTTGCAGTTTTACATGTGGAAATTAACCTGGTGCCATATAAAAGACCTGATCATGTAATGAGCTGGGAAAAGATCAGAAAGTGCAGTTTGAGGTAAATTTTTATCCTTTTCTCATTGATGATTTTCATGCAGTTACATCTTTTAAGATTTTAAATAAAAGAAATCCAATATTTGCACTGATAATGGTATGCAAAAACATATAAATACACAATTGCTTATACCCCCCCCCCCCCCTCAAAAAAAAAAACAAAAACAAAAACAAAACAAATCACTAAATACAGTTGTAACTGTGAAATCTATGATTTTTTTGCTGGGGGAGGGGATGTAATTTAATTATGAGACCTGTGAATTCATTTCCACTAAGAAATGTAAAATTTAATTACTATGTATAACTTGATGGAACACAATATTGTACCATACTCAGGCTGAACATTCTTGGTCCATGAATTCAATCAAATCCTCACTTTAAAGGTCATCTTTTTAATCAAATTACCAAAAGAATTTGATCCCATGAAAACATGTGATTTTCCTGTATTTCCTGCAAACAAACTAAATGTAAAATTTATTTATTGAGGCATTATTTTTATCACATACTTTTTTGACACTTTGACTTGGAGATAAACCGATTGGCAGGTAATAGTTACAGGTATGTATACATGTATGTGTACTTTGCCCTGCCTAAAATTATTAAGGTCCATATGTATAAATATAGCCTATATGTTTTAATATCATGGTTTATAGTTATATTCTTTATCATAGATGACTTGACCTTGAAATCTTGATCACTGCATTGATAAAACCTAGACAACCTTCATTAACAGGAAGCTCCAACTTAAAGGCCCCTTGCTTAACTAAGTATTTAGGTAAGTATTAAAAAAATGCTTGTTTACATATATATAATGCAATCGTGAATGTGTTCATATGTATTAACAAGTTAAAATTGCAGATTAAATGCAAATGACAAAGCTTTAACTGCATGTATATTCCAATACATTATTTAATGTGACTATCTATTTTTGTTCATTTTAATTTCCTTGAAAGTCCCTGCAAATTGCTTGTTCAAACAAATTTATTGAAGTGGTATTTTGAAATTGAAGCAAAATCATAATTTGTTTTTAAAGAATCCAATTGAAATCAAATAGATTTCAAGTATTTGTTCAAGTAGATGCACAATGTACATGTACATGTAAATCGCAAAACCAGTACTTAAAAGCAGAATAATGTGTCAATTTTTGGACTTAAATCATATTTAATTATTAGTAATTTGAAATTCAAATGATGAAAAATTAATTATTTCCCTAAAGGCTTGTTTAAAGTCAAAATTAGAAAATACATGTTACAAGATAGATATTCCAGGATAAAATACACAATTCTTTAGATGCAATAAAAATGAATGAAGTACGTGACAGAGAAATGTTTGTGTCAGCTCTTCACAGTCAAAGATGCAGGATGCATCCTCTTGAGACCAATTAATTCTTCCCATTTTTCAAATATAAGGATAAATCAATTGTCTTTTGATATCATATTTTAGCAATTAAGCTTCTCAGTTTTAAAATGATATCAAAAAATGATACATCTATTTTACATTAAGTTTGATGTGGTATTCACGCAGAGAGGCTTAAGTGGGAATTCAAAGCATATAAATAGTTTCTCCAGCGATGTGAATTCCAGTCTGCACGAGAATATTATCTCAAGTTCAAGATGAAGTGTTTTTATTAGCAGTTAGCTTAGCAGGAAGTATAAAGGAGTTAGTTATTACAGAACATGGGGGCAGAAGAAAGCAAGGGAGGTAACTATGGATTGATGGGGGCAACTTCTGTGGAGTCCAACATGAACAAACAGGCCACTGCAGCTAGACCCTGGTCACTTCTCCACATGTGCTCACTTGACCAGTGGAAAAGTGGACATGCAGGTAGATATTTGAAATTTTTTTTTTTTTAAAAAAGTCCTATTGTAAATTAAAAAAAAAAATAATGATTTTATGTGTTTCTACTTATATTCAAAATTCGAAAATCTGTATAAATCCATTACATTGTAAGTCTAATACATTTAACTTACAAAATAACAAATAAGCACATACATTCTTAAATAAAATACCGTAAATCTGGAAATTTTTGCTGTAGATAAATTTTTAGCAAATTTGCGAGTTCATTGCATTCGCAAAAATATTTTTCTTAAAAATAAATAACCAATAAGAAAATGTCAACAAAGCAGTAGTCATTCGCAAAATTTTGAAACGTAAAAATTAATCAACAGCATTTTGACCCGAATTCGCAAAATAAAATCAACGTAAAAATTTCCAGATTTACGGTATATTTCCCATCCCTGTGGTGTATCTCTGCTTCCTTTTCATTACTGATATGCAAAACAATTAACCTTTTCTAAAAAATGGAGCCACTTGTTTGGCCTTTAGTCAATGGAGTCATTGATCTTTGGAATGAAGGCCAATATTGGGTTTGATTCTTAAATGACAGTAAGGAGTGTTGGGGGTATACAATGTTAAGAGAAATCAATGGAGTTGGACTTCTTCCTTGGTTAACCAATCCCTGCTGACTTTTCCCTAGTCCTACATGACAGGAACAAGCTCATATTTTCTGAAGGCAACAAATGAGTTAAAAGCTTTTGCAGGTGCATTTTCATTGGAAAAAGCTCCAATTTACAGCATCTTAAGTTAATGTTGATGAGCCATGAACATGACAGGGAACATTTGTGAAAGATGGAACCTAAAATTGTTTTTCATGTGACAAAATTGCAAAGAGAAATTTATTAAGAGTAGGTCATATTGATAATTTAATTGCTTATTTAAAAAGAAGTTGATGAGTTAATTCTGAAAAACCCATTCTAATTAACTGTTTGGTTTTATTACAAATCAGTTACCCCAGTTTTTATCCCTTGGTGCAGTTTTTAAAATCTTTCAATAATTGGTGAAACAAAAATGATTTTTTTACCAATTTGATGAGCTTAAACTTGCAAGTGAGTTTTTTTTTTTCTTTTTGTGCCTTCCTCTTGTTGTACATGTCTTTCCTCTAGTGTTCCAGTAAGTCAACTTCTTCAGGTTGACAGCAATTATTTCATCAAATTATAGCTTAGTAATCCTCTACTGGTCCTTAAAAGCATCACTAACTTTTTCATCAAGTTAATTAAACTCCAATTAGTCTCTTATCCCATTCATTTGTTTATTAAAGAAATCCCTTTTGTCTAGATCAATGGGGCTGTACAATATTGGTCCAATTGCAACTAGTACATGGAATGTGCACTTGTGGGTCATCTTTGCAAAATTTTGCAAGGAAAAATATGGCAGGGAAAAACAAATCAGTAGCTAATATTTTGTTTTCTTGGCTTTGAGGGAGAGTGGAAGGAAGGGGTTGTTTTGATGGATTTCTTTCATTTCCTGATGAGATACCAGACTTGTACAGACGTACTCTTCCTCATTTGTGTAGTATTGTATAGGGAGGCTTAAATTCAGTTCCTTAAAAATTGGTATACAACTTCCACAGTCTGAATTTTAGATTTTTAGCCATGCCAAACCATATTTATTTGATTTCTCTTTGTCCATCTTGTAGAGTGACTCCAGACTAGACTGCGAAAATAGAAGGAAAAATCCACATATTAAATCAAACTTAAGCTTCACGTAAAAGAATGTTTTTTAAAATTTTTATGAAGAAATATAAATTGGAATTTGAAATATTTTTGAAAGAAATGTGAGACAAATTTGTTCATGTTTGTTTTAAATTCAGAGGCAGCAGGTTTCAGCGAAACTTCTATGACATGCAGCGGGGTCGTTTTCAAAGACTGCAGTCCTACTTTCTGTATGAATAGACAAGGCATCATCAACATTAACAAATCAAGCTCTGTTTTCAGCTTCCGCCGCAAAAACAAGTTCACAAAAATGGCGGAACATTTTGAATACAATCATATTCCTGCGCAACTGTCATCCATTCAAAACTTTCACGTGAAAAGTGTGCTGTGTTATCATGAACGAACTGTCATTTTGCATCTTGTGCGGAATATGATGACGCAATTTGGCATAATAAATTTAAGTGACAACAAATTCATTGGCGTGTTTGGAAAACAAACGGTTGAATTTGTAAATGAAGCATTAAGAGGCCAAATTAGTCCCGATGGAAACTTTTGCATTTTAAAAATCCCCAGCATTAAGAGTGATAACAGCAGTGCTTTTGTGTATCAGATGTATGACATGAAAACCCGGCAAATGCTCCGGGAGGTCGTCCTCTTATTCCACCAGAGCCTCTTTGCTTTTGATCCCCGGTTCAGTTCATCACGCATTGCGGCAACAAGCTTTCAGAAAGGCGAGGAGAACAGCCTCAGCTTGGTCCAAACCTCAAACTGGGAGGTCCTTGCCACGAATCCGAGACTTGACGACACAAGATGGACCCTTCATCCTACGTTAAAGGATTTATTTTATTCAAAAGATGGCAATCTGATTTTTGCAGTCATGGTTACCGATGGTTGCCATTGTAGAGAGAGAAAAGCTAGACGCTATCCTCCAATAGACATCAGTGTTTATATATTTAATTCGGACAATGTCCAAACATTGCGATGTGTGCAATATAGCCGCTACACGTGCGGAACTCATTCATGTCCAGTAAACTATCTGCCAGTTTTCTCTAATTGCGGAAGCCGGATGGCCATCGTCTTGAATGAGGCCGATTCTAGCGTAGATCACTTGCAGATTTACAAGCTGCCAACAATAGGTTCTTTGCAAAACAGATGTAGGGTAAGAATCACTCAAGTTTTCCAACCGGATATGATACCAAAGCTCCCTCTACCGGCAAGGCTTATACAGTATTTACAGTACCAGCCAGAATTTGGGTAAAACAATCAACTTGATCAAAGACTTTTTGTGACCGTTGGACTAAAATAGGTAAAAAAAACAAGCAGAGCCATAAATAAATGTTATTTATGTCTGTGCAACAAGTTTACTATTATGGGGATGCATGACTGTAATATATATTTATTTGGACATGATATATGCGAATATAAAAAATGTCAGTGCTAGTCGGAATTGTTGATAAACATGACTGTATTTATTCGATCATATTTTTCTAAAAATAGGGAATTGTAAATATCTTTTTTACATGTAACAATTAAATTTCAGAACTGCAATATGCATATAAAACAAGGTATAATTGTACTTAAGAGCTCAAGATTTTTCTCAACCTTGAGCTTACAGGTTGTACTTCTAAGCTACTCGGTGTTTCTAGTCAGACAGAATTCAGTAAATTGCTGCATGTTCACATCATCGTTACATTTGTTAGTGCTGTGTATTCTGTGAGAATGAAAGATTTTGAGTGGAACATTCTCTTTGTATATTTAAACAAGTTCTCTTCAAACAACTTCTTTTTAAGTGTGCTACATTTATAAAAGCTGTGATTATAAAATTGATTCAATCACTTAGAACTGAAAATTTAGGGTCAAAGACGCAATATGCGATGAACATCCAAGAAACCAATGAACTTGCAATTACGTGAATATGATATGTAGCGGAAGATACGCTTTTAAGAGACTTGTGTTTTTTAAAAAAATATTTTGTTCTTATACACCCTGACCAATTTTTTCAGACTGCCCCGTGAACTTCTTAAGGTTTTGCTTTTTACTGCATAGTATACTAGAAGCTAGGGACCATCGTTTCGACTCTTAAATGTTAAAGGAGGTTATACGTGCATTAAAATTAATCTGTGGATATCTGGAGAAGAGGCACCCTTATTTCTGTTTAAGTATTCGTGTGACTTGGTATATTTTAATGTCTGTGCCGGTGTTTTTGTGAGAATTGTCTATGTGTTCACGTTATGTCAAAAGCATTACATATGGAGATGACGTAGCATTTAAATCACTCCATAACCAGTTTGAAGTGTTGTGAATATATTTCGCATGCCTTTTTATGCTAGTAATACCTTTAGAAAGAGTAAGCTATAATATATGTAAAAAATATATTTACTTGTATTCTGTGGTGTGTGTTGAAGGAAAGCCACGAATGTATGAAGACAAATACATAATTATTTGTTGTACAACGTGGACTTAAAGCTTCATCGGCCCTCTGACAAGAGAGGCAACTCTCACTTGAATAAATGACTTTTATTCCTCTATATGAAACAGAAAGGCTATTTTGGTCAAAATTTGCTCAGCAAGGTACCCTGAAGGTGCCTGCATTTAAATTAAAAATCTGATTTATTTTGAAAGATACTTGAAGCTTTTAGACAAAAGAAAAAGTTGTGGCAGAAATCAAAAGAAAGTTGAACTTTAATTACAATCTTTGCAGACCTCTCTTGATCTGTCTTTCCAAGACTAACGACAATGCATTGTATGATTTGTACGAATTCTATTTGTTACCATTCATTTTCAATGAGAATGTTGAATATGAAGAAAAAAAAGCAAATCGCCATTTTTAGGATAGCAAACATTGATTTTAAGACAACTATACCCCTGATCGATCTCAGAAAACAATATACGGGTGATCTAATCTAGTCCAGCCTTGTAGTCACCAGCTGCGGAAATCACGATTTAACAGAACGGCAGAGACGGAATAACAAAAATGATACTGATCTGTAAATGTAAAAAGAAATCAATGGTAATTGCTTAATACGAGATCTGCTTATTGTGTATAATGTCATTAATATAACATCCTATACTGTTTATTTGTACATAAGCTACAAGGAACTCGTGATAAAGTTCACGTTAACTTATAACATTGTATGTCCATGTCCATGTAGAGATGTACTTAAAAATAAGTATTTGGCTTGTTGTTTTTAAAGTTTGAATTTCTGCATGAAAGTACCAGTTGTAACATGATGACATAGTTTTATTGAAGTGCTGCCTCATGCTAAACTAAATTGTCTTTTTATGTATGTAACCCCGGACCCCTCATTGTTATACATTGTCGAGATGAATATGAAAAAAATACACCCAGCCTACTAGTAATCTTGTTACATCTGTACCAAAACGAAGTAATTTAAAAAAAATAAAATGGATGTATTCTAGGATTAGATTTTTAATCATTTAGATTGTTACTAGCGTATGTTAAGCAGATTTTGTTTTCTTGTCTTGGGAAGTAAAAGTGAATCGTATGTGAATATCAAATACAGGTATTTCTCAGTACCTGCTGGACTTCAAGAGAAATGGTACTGGAGATTAAAAAAAAAAAAGAATATTTTTCTGACAAAATATTTTTGAAATAGTATTTTTGTATATGAAGATTAGATATGTATTGTCTAAAGTTGGAATAAGAATATAATAACATTGTAAAATCCATTACCACTGCGCAATGTTCTGACACTTCATTTGAAGATTTCGATTCATTAACATAATATATATTTGTGAACACAAAAGAAATACGTTTTTGACTAATACACTCTGTATTTGGTTAATTATTCAAAAAGAATTATGTTATAGTAAGGAGATAATGTATTGAAATAGTGATTTTATATGGAAATAAACTGTATATATCCCGAGTCAGTTTAGACTTTTATTTATGTTATCCCTATTATGCGGAGGAAATCAATCAAGATGGTCATCAGCATTTTACATTGTTAGCACAAAATATCTTTTTATGCCAAAATGTTAACATGTCGAAGCTTTGTACAAATTAATCATCATGCAAACGCATGTTTACATTAAATCATTTAATCTTTTTGCATCATTTGTTTGTACAAAACGTCCTTTTAGATACCAATTGTAAATCAAGCCAAAATGTTAACATGTCGAAGCTTTGTTCAAAATTAATCATAATGCAAATGCTTGTTTACATGTAAATCATTTAATCTTTTGGCATCATTCGCTTTGTTCATTAACCGTTCGATGCTCTAGAGTTATCTCCCGTTCATTTTGTGACTGTGGAGCTTGAGTACACCGAAGTTCCTGTGATTCTGTAGTGAGTTGTTTTATGCAATGACCTTTGTTTTTGTTGCTTGTTATACTGAGTATTAATTTGTTCTCAATAAAGTGAAGATAAAGGATATTGTTAGTGTTTTCTTTGTAATTTGTTATCAGTTGAAGCATAAAATATTAAACAGTCTCGTTTAAAGGCATCATTTTGCAAGTTCTATGGACGATACAACGACCTTGTCAGCATATGCAATCTTTCAGTAAGTCAAATGCGGACTAATACTAATTCTAATGCCATCACTCACACACTGAGTTGTCTTTGCTTATTTTCCCGTTTTTCCCTCTCATGACAAAGAGCACACGGCGGGTGTGATCAGTCGGTAGGGGATGGTCACTCCTCCATGGCACCTAATCATACTTCTGATATTTTAGGGGTCCGTGTTTGCTCTGCTCCCCACTTATATTGTTTGAGTAGACAGAAGGTTCAATACTGCTTGTTATCTCCATATTCATTTTAGTGAGAACTGGAGTGACATCTCTTGATTTATAACAATAATTGCTTCTTTGTGACAAGTATAAACAAAATACTTAAATTAACTATTGATGTCTACATTTTATTTAACAACATATGATGAAAATTTGGACCTTTTTCCTTTCCGTTATGGATACATCTGTATACTCTTTTTTCACGTTGCTGAAAATGAAACTTTCTTTCGTGAAGATTCTCCCACATACGTAGTGAAGCATTATTTATGTTCTGTTAAAGCTGAGAGTAATTGTATCTTTTTGTTTTTTAGATAGTTTTCATTAAAGTTTACTTACAAAAATAAAATTTAGGGCCTCAAACAAGTTTTTGTTAGTAACGTTTCCATAAAAATAAATTGTTCAGCTGAATACGATATTAAACACCTGTTTTCTGTGTTTTTTTTTAAATAGAGAACTTGTTCTACGTGTCTGTTGTCGAAATCGCCGATAAGTTTGAGTGCATTTTATTTGAGTAAAACAATCATTTACTAAGAAAACCAACACACGTTGACAAAACTAAGTTCAAATTTCAAATACAATTCCCTGTACGGTAATTATTAAAATTCAGTGTAATTAGAGCAAATTATTTGATAGGTTCAGATGTGAACTTTTTCACGAACTTTAATCATTAACAGCAAAATATTTGATAGCTTCAGATGTAAACTTTTTCACGAACTTTAATGATTTAGCTACCTCATGTTTAGTTCCTTCTATTTGTGTAGTCATTTCTATCGCATTTTCATCTTTGCATTTTCTAGCAAAGCACTACCAGACTGCAAAATTTTTTCCCAAGATGCTACGAGGGGTTGTTCAAAAAGTTCATAGATGAGTTCTATTGAATTTTATACAGGGAAATTTCCCCCACGAACTCTTTAACAACCCTCGTATATCATAAGATGTCGTAAAAGTTACGAAATTCTAAAAGTATACATTATCTATAATCAAAAGCATCAATTTTTAAAAAGGGCTTGTGATCCTTACTTTTTATTGATTTATATACGAGGGGTTATCAAAAAGTTCGTGGACTGAGGCTATAAAATAAGTACTATGTAGTCTGTGCATTTAAAATTTATATAGAACATAAAACAACAACAAAAAAATGTTGAAAAATTTAGTCTGGTACGTTAATTATTTGCCAAATTATTATAAAATGAAAACATTATATGATCACCCGGCGCTGTCGTCGTTTATTTTCATGACGTCCGGTAACGTCGTTGTTTTTTCAATGTCCGTTTCTTCTACCTCATACTTTTTTTGATGAGATTCCCTGGAGCTGAGTAAGGATTTAAACCCGCCTTATTCATATGAATTTACAATGTCATGAACAGTGGCCTTCAATGAATATAATATTCCAAATGGATTAATATATTGGGAGAGATCCGCGCTTGATTGTGCTGGCATATTTTGCTTTTGGGAGTTCAATATCTACAACACATGATCAACGTCATTTTTTGACGTGATTGATTTTTCACACCTTGACTGCAAATCGGCTTTAACTATGTATCCTTTCTCTCTCTGAATCTATTATGACATTAAAAGACAAGTATTCTGGATGCATATTATTTCTTCCTAGCCAGTTTCAACATATTTTAGGTCTATACCAGTTTTTTTCACGGGCAAGACTTTATAGAATGTTGGAAACGGAAACCCCTCCCCCTTTTGACGTCATTTTCAAGGCCTCATTTATTTTGACATTCCGTGTAAAATTTGCAATAAAATTTCATAGAATTTCCAGAATGAAGTGAAAATTTTATATTTTATGGAACAATTGTGTCCCAACACATACCTGAATTAACGGGAATTTCAGATGTCAAATGATCATATCAAAAGAGTTTTTCTCAGTTACACATGGGTAGCAAAAACGTCGTTTTCGAGGTTGCGCCGCCTGGACATACCATTGCTTACAAAAACATTACTAATTTATTAAAAAATAAATTTCATGATTTATGGTTTATTCTTTAGATAGAAAAGATGATGCTAACTAGATAATTTAAAATTCATTGATGTACCTAAAGCAGTTCTAATTTTATAACGCTAGTCCACGAACTTTTTGATAACCCCTCGTATATTATACCATGAGGAAAACGAACAAAATTAATTGTAAAAAATAAATGCAGATAAATTATTATGCCTGGCATTTTAATAACATTGATTCTTTGGAGAAAATTCTTAAGGTCAAGATCTAGTAAATGACTTTAGAGTATTTTTTCAGTGCTAAATCCATTATGACGTCATAATCACTTTCAACTTTCTCTTTCCCGTACTTTACGGCTCTAATAGAATTATGTAGAAAATAAAGTATTGCCATGGAATTCAATTTGAAATCACATGAAAAGTAGTCCCGATACCTATCTTAAATTTGACATTATTCTTAAGCAGAGACTAAGAACAGACTTATAACCGTTTTCTGAAAAACTGTAGGCAATCTGGATACATTTTCTTTGCCTGATATGGAAAAAAAACTCCCATTTTCAATACTGGTTTTCTTATTTTTTCAGTGAAAATGACAGTTTAAAGTATGGTTTTTCATCTTGTTTTTCTACAAATTATGCCCCGAAACATCTATTTCGGCCAAGCTAATATTATAAAGCATCATTTAAAATATTAATTTCTTAAATTTGAAAAATCTGTAGGCACCTTCCATTTACTAGATCTTGACCTTAAAGTACACACTTCTTTGGAAAACACTGTCGATCTGGCATCTGTTAGATTATAAAGAAAAGCAGCCTCGACCAATTATATGATGTCTTACACAAAATTTATATGCAAATATTCAGAGAAAAATTGTAAAGCTAATCAACATCTTTTTATCAAATCGAATGCATTCTTAAAAACTTAGGGAAGTCACATTTCCTGGCATTTGCCTGGCTTTGTTCATTTTGCAGCAGGTCTATAATTAAGAAGATCTACTTCCTTATTCCATACATCATTGATTTCCTCCCAAAATAATTATTTTAGAGATTTATCTCTCTTAGGCGAAGAAAAGTTCTTTTCTCTCTTGTATTACATTCATCCGGACAAAAACGCGGATTTCAATCCAATGAAGCCGATGTATGTTGGAATACCACTTTTAATTAATTTTGTATTGCATGTACATGTCCAATTTGAAGCATGATCCACCCAAATTGCAATACAAGGTATGACACAAGTTGCGTGTGCCGTATGTGCCTGTTTCAAGTTTCTTTACTTTTGGGAGCATAATTTAATGAAAGAAGACATGTTTACTATTTATCAATATGAATACCGGTAGGTAATGTGTCATTTGGACGATTCCTTGGGATTAAGCATTGGCGTAGCGAGGGGAAGTTAGAATAAGTTTATTCACTAGAATAGTCCTTGAAATTGTTTGCGCATCTTTTATCATAATTACTGTTTATGAATCAATAGAAACTAAAGGAGTTCATTTATAATTATACATGGATAAGTTGTCATTAGGCAGCACAAGTTCAAGTTAATTTATTCACTCAACCCAATTAAAAATACCCGGTATATAGTACATGAGGACTGAAAATATTTACAACCAGTCTACCAGAAGCCACAA